AGTTACCGAAGGAGACTAACCCTGCTTGCCCCTACTAAGACGCTCTCACCCAACGACTTTATAGCCATGGTCAACGCCGGCTTCAGACTCTCTCCCACAGACCTAGAGTACCTGCACACACTATCCTCAGGCCAGCAGGAAGAAGTTGCATGGCGCGAAAAACACACACCCGTCGATACTCGCGCGATCCCAATGCGAGCCACCAACGTACAAGCCGGTACCGTCGCTTCCTTCCCCCTTCGCATGCGCCATGCAGATACCTATACGGGCGAGCGCGTGGCACTAGTCGGCGACGCAGCGCACACCATTCACCCCCTCGCAGGCCAAGGTCTGAACCAGGGCCAAGGCGATGCAGCAGCGCTCGTGCGCACGATTTCGCACGCTGTGCAGACGGGGCAGGATGTAGGGTCTACGCTTGCGCTGGAGAGTTATAATAGTGCGCGGTATGCAGAGAACAATGCTATGCTGGGTGTGTGTGACAAGCTGCATCGATTGTATAGCGTGGACTCGGGACCGATTGTTGGACTGAGGAGCTTGGGATTGAGGGCTGTGGATGCAATGGGGCCTTTGAAAAGCTTTTTTATGAGTAGGGCCGCGGGTGGTTCGTAGACGGCAAGTTTGCACGGTGTAGTGCTTCTTTGTATGATTACATGTATACCCGTAGTTACACAGTATACCTACGTCCGCGGACTCCATTCAGAACAACTGCTGTACACGTCAACACAAGACAAATACATGAACCAAACAAAACCAAACAGAGCAAAGCAAAGGAAACTAATTTACCTCTCCCTTTCAATAAACATAGCTACCCCATCCAGACACCGCCCTTTCCAGTCCACCCGCAAACGCTCCGCCCCGCGCCCGCCACACGACCCACATTCTAGCCCTGCATCCCTCCCTCCCCATCCAAAATCCCCACTAACCAATCCTCCCCACGTATTCGCTGCCCCTCCCACAATTCATCCCCATTTCATCCCGTCTTAGACAGACAAAAACTTGATACAATCCTCATCTTACCGTCTACGATTGACAAAGCAAGAGTTCAGGACAAGACAAGAGATATAAGCGAGTCGAGCTGAATCGAATCGAGTTACGCATCACATCCACACGCCCCACCCCCAGGTTGTTCTTCGCCCGAAATGGCACAAGCAGAGACGGATGAGCAGCATGCACATGAAATCGAGGCGTTTGGGGAAAAGGATGATTTTTGGATTTTTGGCTATGGGTAAGTGGTTTTTACAATTCTTTGTGGTATGAGATGTTTGTTGTGCTGTAACTATACATCTGACATTGCAAACATCAACACCGTCACAACCTACATCTGGATTTGAGACTGATAAACACAATTATAGGAGTCTAATCTGGAAACCTCCGCCGCTTTATGGTGATTATATTTTCTATTGTTATTGTATATTTTTATCGTTGCGTTGGGACTTACAACTGTCTCTTTTCCTCATCTTTGTCTCAATGTTAGAAGCCAGAGGAAACACAACATGGCATATTAACATACTGATCCCTACTTCATACTTCAACTACTGATTCCTTGCTCCACAGACCAGCGCGTACCGGGCTACATAGAAGGCTACGTGCGCCGCTTTTGGCAGGTACGTTTTCTACACACATGATCCCTCCTGTCTTTCCATCACCTTTGTCACGTCTATCCAAGTAAATTGGCGTTTGTAAACTTTCTGGGAGAATACAAAATTAAGTACGGGGTTTAGGCTAGGTACGCATCTTGATATTCACGGACATCACTTTCTCTCTCCAGGAGTTTCTTTACATTCTTTTCTCGATGGTTAAAGCGGTATGACAAGGCTAACCCACCATGCCCAAAAAAGTGAGGATCATCGCGGAACTCCAGAAGCCCCCGGCCGCGTCGTCACGCTGATATCGAAGGAGCACTGGGATACATTAGAAGACACTGTACGTACCCACCCCTTCACAAACCTTTTATGCCAGGCTCCAAACCCCCTCAAAAGGCTAAAACAAACTCCCTGTTCTCTTTAGCACCAAGCCACACACCGCGTCTGGGGCGCAGCATACCATATTCCCCGGCCCAAAGTAGCTCAAGTACGCGAGTACCTCGACATACGCGAGATCAACGGATATAGTATCCAATTCACGCCCTTCCACCCAACATCATCCACCTCGACCACCATCACCTCGCACTCCACCTCAGTAGACGCCACGGAAGCGCAACAAACATCCGCCGGCATCCGCCGCCACTCGACCATCTCGCTCACGCCGGGGGCTCCGCCGCCAATCCGGTGTCTAGTGTACATTGGGCTCCCGTCGAATCCGCAGTTTCTGGGTCCACAAGATCCGAATATGTTGGCGCGCAGGATCCTGGCGAGTCGTGGGCCGAGCGGGGAGAATAGGGAGTATTTATATAATTTGGGCGAGGCGTTGAGGGGATTGGGGAGGGAGAGTGGGGATGAACATGTTGAGGATTTGGTGCGGAGGTGTAGGGAGATTGAGGCAGGTGAGGGTGGACCGGGAAGTGGAGATGGGTTTGTGCAGGAGGGGGTTCAGGAACAAGGGTTGGAGGAGGCGGAGAAGTAGAGGACGTCTTGAATCGAATGCCTATTTTTCTTTTGGAATGTTGCTTTTCCTATCTTTGTAGATTTAGGTCTGGCCAGATGATGAGGATCCGAGTTCTCTGTAAACCCGCAAATCGACTATTTTATCGAGTTACTGTCATCCCATGGTCAGCATCAGATAGGTACTAGTATTTCGACGACGACCCCGAGCAACGAAAGAACGTCGGCCATACCCACGCTTTCGTATGTCAGTGGTCTAAGCGACGTGTAGCTCAATGTGTGGCCTGTCTGACGTTGCAGACTAGTCACTCACGCTGCACTTCATAACATCTCTTGTGCGACTAGAACGATCTGTTAATTGTACGTTTCATATTTTCCCCTCGTTTACACATTTGGCCTTGCTCGTCGACAATCTAATCTCGAACACGCTCAAAGTCGCCTAGCCATGGCGAAGGCTGTTGCAGTCTAGACCCTATCAACAAGTAAGGTTTATCAGCCTTCATCCGTACCGGTATGGATGTGATTCCAGATTCATTGCACGAAGTGGGATAACACGAGGTGTACGAACATCCGTAGGCATATCCAGTGTTGAGGTCATGTAGCCTATCTACATTTGCCTCTGAAGGAGTGTGGTCGAATACCCCTGCGTCTCCGCCAATGACTGCGTGCTCGTCCGGTAGGTCAAATCCGAGACTGAGCGCAGCCCAGTCAATGCTTTCCCACTCGACCAGATCTGGTTCAGCGACGTGGTGCTGCAGTGGCCCGACTGGACTATCGGCGTCATCGGGTATCAATGAAGCATTGACAAATGGCTCGAGCCTAAGTACAGGATGAATCAAGTATAAGCGAATGAATGGCTCGAACAAGAAAGATGGTTCTCTAACCTGAGCTTGACAATCCTCTCCCATAGATAGTGTACAGCTTCATTCAACTTGTAGTTGACCCATCCGCAATAATGTAAACGCTCGAGTAGCGTCTCTGCAGAATATATGTTGAATGTTTCGCACGCCAGTGAGGTCTGATGGACGTACCAGGGACTGTCGCCCGAGCCATCTGCAGAGATGGCACCAATAGAAAGAACCCATAAAAGGAGATCCGGACAAGTCTGCCACTCGTCACAGGTCGTGCAGTTGAGTGCTTTCTGAAGTCGCTTGCTTGCAGCGAAATGGAGAAGGTGTGCGCCAGTCTGCAATTTCATTGCTTCTGTCGTCCGTACAGTGAAGATGAGGAGCGCAACACATAGTGCATCCTCCAGCGGTGTGACGGAAGATTCGTGTTCGCGCAGCCAGTCCAAGAGTAAACACTCCAAAGCACACGAGAAATTCTGTATGTCAAGTGGATCCAGCGGGCTTTCGGGATCACTATACCAGACATTGAGGTCTGCAGTCAGTACCAGCACCGATTCCACCAATGCGGTAAGTTTCTCTTTGACGCCGGCATAATGACAGTATTCGATGAGATGCTGCGAGATATTTGGTTGGTAACCAGGAGGGTGCCGAGGAAAATTGGCGGTGCTGATATAATCCAGAATCGAGTTGTCGGGCGCACTAAAGTGGAAGATGGCGTATGTGGTCGCATGCCTGTTGCTCAGTAAGCACATGCCAAACCGTATTAAGCCACCCTGAATTTACACACCAAAGTATAAAGGCTTGCAATATGCGATTAGAGTTAATTTCTTTAAGCCCTCCCCGCAATTGTATCATTCTACTTAGCCCGTTCAGATGGATTGCGCGTTGTTTCGGCTGGTCCTCCTGCAACTGTGCCTCTTCGAAATGCGGCAACTGCAAGCTTTCCTCCACTGTTAGCAGGTTGAATACGGCGCCAATGTTCGCATCCGATATTCCAGCATTTTTGTCGGGGTTGGAGATCGCTGCATTAATCGCTGCGATCGCTTGTGCTCGATGATACAGAATGGTGTCGACAGTACCTCCACCAAAAATATATAGGTGCAACGCCACCGTGCAAAGCAAGCTGTGCATGAAGCCAGGATGGCCCATCGCAGTTCCAAACCAGTCAGATCTCATCAACGTGGATCGATTACGGACATCGACAGCGATGATACCAGGAGCCATTTCTGCGACAACTGCATCAAATTATTAGTAACCTTGAGATCTTTGCCACGTGGAAGTCCAAATTCGCTAGAGTTCTTGTACAGCGTTGTGATGATAATGGAATCATGGATGAAGCCTAAAACAGCCAGCAGGTAACACAAAGTTACGCATTCAGGGCTTGTCCAGTCACAAAAGCACAAAACAGCTACTTACAATGTTCTAAGAGTCCAGATACACTCCCAGTGATCTCCACTGATGAGGTCCTGAAAGGGTCGAATAGACGGCTGACTGGGTCGCTTCCTGGTGCCCGAGGCTTGAGAACAGCACATCTTGGACACAGATCCTGCCCAGGTCGACAAACCAAGATCTGGCATTTAGGGCAGACAGACTCCCCCGTCGGTGCGAAGGTGCGTAGTCGCGCTGGAGTGAAGTAATCAGGTCTACCGGGAAGAATGGGGGGACTTGGTGTCGCTGTATTGGGCGTGTATGAAGAGTCTGGGGTGTTCATACTCCCGGAAGTCGTGCTATTGGAACTACCAGTCTTGCGTTGTTTGGCAGCATGTTTGCTTGTCGACCATGGACGCTCCCTTCGTGCTTTTTGCATGACGAAAGAACGCGCATTTCGACGACCTTGAAGCGACGTCTTTGCTTGCGCTGCGTCAACGAAAAGGAAGTCCTGTTGCACGGGAACGATTGGCTGGGCGTCCTGCCTTGCTCTGGCAGACTCCTTCTGATCCTCCATCCTTCAGATCTAGCCAAGGACCAGCAAGACACCGTGCAGATGAAATGCTCCTGAAGAGGGCGATGGCGGCAGAGCTCAGCCGAACGTGGACAGCGAAACGTTGCAGGTGTTGGTGACGCGAACGCTTCCCCGCCGATGCTTCACTACCACCATTTTGGTCCGCTCGTCTAGCAGAATGGTGAAGCGCAGCGGTTGTTGTGTCTCTTGGTGTAACTGATGGTTTGGAGGGGTTGGAGACGTGAAATTATCATGGACCCGATTCGTATTAGGCTGCAGTAGCGAGCTTGGGTGCCACCTGGGTAATAGCTTGGATACAGCCCATGCTCCAGATGTTGGCATCTCTCTTTGCCATGAAGATGTTCTTATCTGATTTCGTGAGTAGGATGGAAGGGTTTTGCCGCGATCAGCCACTGAGAGCCTCGAGTGACATACTCTACACTGTTACCCAGTCGCAATCGCTACCACAAGAGCCGGTTCCAGCTGCAGCATGGCATAGGTACGGAACGACCTGTATCTGGAGTGGCAGATGGCAAAGTCATTAACATGGCGAATCGGAGTGCGCGATGGCTCGCCACAGACTGCCCCGAAGGACGGGTTGCTGACCAGGGCGGAGTTTGATTATTCCTTCAAGACAACAGTGGGGACGCAAGTGAATCCGTCGTCAAAGATCAGTGTCAGGAAACCCCCATTACTTGTCTGCGATGTATTCCATCCTTGCACTGATGTTAGTTGCTTTGTTTGCTCCGACGCGTGCTGGTGATGCAGGACTGATCCATGGATGCGATCGCCTACAGGGATTGGTATGTGCCGTACTTAGCACCATCCAGATTCCATGGCTCGCATTGCTAGTCCTACCGTAAGTACCGGTACCTTGAGGCTGACGCATCCCACTTTGGTCTGTTTGTTCAGCAGTCGCAGTCGCCCAGCGTGACAAAGCGCTCGAGAATAGAAATGGAGGGAGAGAAGGACAAGACGTTGGTCGCGCGCACACGTCATGCCAGCCCGGGATCAAAGAGGTTCCGAGCCGAGACTAGGTAGGGACTGACAACCTCAAGCACGACCCATCTAGATACTTAGCCATGGTACCTACGCGGTCGAGTCTACCTCCACCGTCGCAAATATCCCTATCTGGACTGTGTTTGGGGGGGCAACACGCGACATGACGATGACACATGGTCTTGCCACGGGTGAGTGTTCGCAAATCCTCACTCATGTACCTTCCGAGTGGAATGCGGCAGGTTGACTGAACGGACAATCACAGGACTATCGCATATATCCACACATATCCTCCAAGCCGAGCTGCGCCGAAGAGACGGGCAAGATGGGCAAGATGGGCAAGACCGTCCAGCGTGTGGACACAAAGGGGCAAATCAACACTACAACACTGCCGCTCACGTGTTTGCCCTGTTCCTCATATTATTCTTGAGTACTGCGGGTAAGCATGTTGGTCGTGGTCGTAGTTGGCGCAGTGTGCCCGTGTTGGACTAACGTCTGCCAGCTTGCTCGTTCCCCATTGTCGTCAGGCGCTTTCCTTCGATACCCATACCCAACAAATTCCTCTTCCTCTCTCGACACTTTGGAACAGGTGTCCTCATCGCCACGGCTTTTGTCCACCTTCTCCCCACCGCTTTTCAGTCGCTCACCGATCCCTGCCTCCCTCACTTCTGGAACAAGCGCTACGCAGCCATGCCAGGCCTCGTAGCCATGACATCGGTCTTTGTCGTGGTGGGCATCGAGATGTTCTTTGCCTCCAGGGGGGCAGGTCACGTTCATTCTACAGACTATGAGACGCTGGGTCTGGACGATCAGCATGCGCCTGCACCCTCAGCCCACAGGAGGAGCCACAGCTACAGCAGGTACAACAATGGACCTTTGCGAGCCAATGGAAATATTCCAGGCATTGTGTTGCATGACGTCGGATCATCTGACAACTTGATGGCCGGCCGATCGCCTTCGCTATCTCTCCCCTCGCCTGGGATGCCTAGCATGCCCAGCAGCCGCAAGACAAGAAAATCATTCGATGAAAACGAAGATGCTGATGATGATTCGGATCTCGAAATTTCTCCAGAAGAGCTGGGGCCCGGAGATGTTCAAGATGCAGAGGATGAGTCGCAGCTTCTCGCATATCCCGACCGGCATACGCATACGCAAGAAAACTCGCAGGAAGATGCGGCCAAGACTGAAGCACAGAATAACAAGTTGCTCCTTCAATGTCTGCTGCTCGAAGCTGGAATTCTCTTCCATAGCATTTTTATTGGCATGGCGCTGTCCGTGGCGACGGGTACGTCATTTGGTGTTTTACTGGTGGCTATTTCTTTCCATCAAACTTTCGAGGGTTTTGCTCTTGGTTCCAGAATCAGCGCTATCCGGTTTCCAGCTGGTTCTCCGAAGCCCTGGCTGATGGCTTTGGCTTACGGAATGACTACACCGATCGGACAAGCTATTGGTCTGGCGGTACACACTTTGTACGACCCTGCAAGCCAGGCCGGTCTATTGACCGTGGGATTCATGAATGCCATCTCAAGTGGACTGCTTTTATTCGCCGGCCTAGTCGAGCTCCTGGCCGAGGATTTCTTGAGCGACGAGAGCTATATCACGCTAAAGGGCAAGCGTCGATTACAGGCGTGTGCAAGTGTTGTTGGAGGTGCGTTATTAATGGCCCTAGTTGGTGCATGGGCATAAGAGATATAAATAATTCAAGTCGCCTCGCGAACATCGTAACGCAAACATTGGTCAATCATTTATGTGAAGTTATATCAGATCGCTGGTGTTTTGCGCAGGCAATCACTCCCAGCCTCCCCATTCTCTAAATCCAGGCAGTGTTATGTTCGTGTCAACTTCTTTATGACAATCTCGCCCCTCTTTCTTCTCCAAGATCCTAATACGACTGCTCGACTGCAACACTCAGACACGGCAGCTACAATATGCACTTTTTATCTGGACGTAATGCACGGAGGCACATGTGTTGAAGCCTTGTAACCAAGAAGCGCTTGTTCAAGTGGCACCGTGACCTCGCTGTCCAGTCGTATGCACTCATAGAGAACACTACGTAGACACAGTTCGACTTTGTGAGGTTCTGTAATACCAGCGCTAAAGTGATTCAACAAATTATAGTGTATTTTTGATTGTTACGTTGCTTTTCGTTCAACAATGCATGATCAGTCGGCCAACTGTGCCAAGGCAAATGCAACATCGCCCTCTTGCCCACCGAATTCATAATCAATGATGGCCAAGCCTGATTCCGCACTTCGTTCACTTCTCTTACTAGTCGCTGTGGTACCCTATCTTTCACTTAGGATCCTATCAGTCTTGTTTCTTTTGCCGCCTCTATAGTGACATTCGCCGATTTTTCCACTAAAGTCATCCTCAAAGGATAAGAAATCTACAGCAAGGTCGCTTCATTTCAAGTCAGTGATCTCAGAACTCAAATTTTGAGCTGCAAAAGTGGATCAGAACCTCGGATGTACAGGGGAGCCATGAGAGCGACGCCTTGAAGCTGGCATATGAGGTACCGGTACCATTCGCTTCGCCCTCTTTCGCAACTTCACTGACCTAGTGGTAGGCCTTTTCCAAATCAGCTAGAGATTACATTGCAGCCTCCGATAAGATTGTTGCCATCCTCGATGATCTCACCATAGACCCAGAAAAATGCTCTCGATGGGCCATCGTTCATGGGCGCTTTCAAGATTGAAACTATCAACGCGCTCGTTAGTCAGCTTTAAGGGCTCGAGCGAGACTTGAATTCACACTTGCTCGCATACATGAATTTCAAGTGTGAATACCAAAGTTCTCTTACCCACGAAAAACTGGAGAAGATGAACGACGTGATGGGCAAAGGCTTCGAGAATCTCGGAGGTGCAATGAATGGACACGTCGTTTCCATATTGGCATTCACGAACTCAATTTCTGAGATGAATCTGAAGGAGACTGCTTTAGCTAAAGATCGAGCCGATGATATGAGCTATAGGGTATAGGAGGAGTAGCCCGTGTTATCTTTTGCTTAGAAGATGGCACGACTCGTGTCCTCACCCATGGAGATGCTCCAGGCATGCATCACGACATGAGCATGACGAAACGTCAACTCGATCGCATCATAACATTCAGAGATGACTTAAGAATGCGGGGAAAAGACGCGATAACTGCTGAACGCTTCTCACCAGTAGCAAAAACAGTACTCGATATGCTCCATTATCGGATGATTAATGCTAGAAGCGAGCAAATTGCGACCGCCCATGTAGAAACCTCCTGATGGATCTACGAAGAACCGAGCAAATGGGATGAGTGGCCTGACTTCAGCAAATGGCTTCGAGAGAGCAATGGTTTATACTGGATCCCAGGCAAGCCAGGCTCAGGCAAATCAACTATCATGAAATGTATTCGCTCGGATCCAAGAACAAGCCAACTTCTTGACGTTTGGAAAGGCTCAGAACCCTTATTACGATCAGACTTCTACTTTTGGGCGGCTAGAAGCGATGTACCGAAATCATTTCAAGGCCTTTTGCGATCGATTCTATATTCTCTACTAGAGCAACACCAGCATTTCATACCCCTCGTCTTCCCAGACGTCTGCAGGACTATACAGTCGGAGCGCCCTATCGATACAGCTTTGACAATTTCAGAGCTCACTCTGGCATTACGCTTGCTCGTTGAAGGCTGCAGACCAATCAAAATCTGCCTGTTCATTGATGGCTTAGATGAGTACTCGGGTGACCACCGCGAGCTTGTCAGCCAGATTGGAGACCTATCAGTCTATTCTCAAGTGAAGTTCATGGTATCGAGCAGACCCTGGCCTGTATTTGAGGAAGCTTTCAAGAACAAGGAACATTTATTACTGGAAAAGGTGGCTGCTCTCCTTACACGTGAAAGATGGGGGCAGCTTTGTGATTTCGCCTTCACGTCTTCGTGAGAGATAGTTCGTCGTACGAAAAACGTCTTTAGGAATCCAAGCTCACACTCCAAGAAGAAATATGGTAACGTGACGAGTATGTGGCTATGTGTTTAGAACTGCTCAAGATCACAGCAAAAATGGAAACAGAGAACCGTCAGGAGTTTTGCGAGTTTTCATGTGGGAAGTTTGTGTCTTCATATGTGGAGATTGTGTCTGGTATAGCGACGAGCGTGAGTATCGATGTTTGCGATCAAGAGAGAGGTACTCAGGAAGCTTTCAGAAACTCCAAGAAACAGTACGAAGCACTGCTAGCTTTCGTGATAGAAACGCGGGCAGCTTGCACGGCGAAGGATGTGCCAACTCAGCCGGAGCAAAAGCTCGAAGCCCCAATCATGAAAAACAGGTGGAAATCGGTCTTGCGGCTATTTTGTTGCTTCAAGTAGCCGCAAAGCTTCCTCTCTACTCGCATCGTGGAACTAAGGATAATAAGTCTGTTGATATTCAGCTTCATCACATTCCAAACGCTCTGTAGCCTTGCAAAATAGGGCAGCTCCGATCAGCTTACAGTGCTGGAGCACGATGCGCTCATCCTAATTCCTTTCTACTCTTTTGTCTAAAGTCTGGAAGCTATCTCTTTCTTGGCAATTTCTTTCAAATCCTTCTTCAATATTTTCCCGGATGCATTCTTCGGTATCAGCTCTACAAACTTGATGCCTCCAGTTAGCTGCTTGTACCCAGCTAGTCGCTGTCTCATGTAGTGTTGTACTTCTGCCAAGCTCAAATGGCTTCCACTTTTGACAACCACATACGCTCGTGGGAGTTCGCCACCCTCCTCACCCGCCGTCGAACCAGCCGCAACACCAATCACAGCCACATCGCTGATATTCGGGTGCGATAACAGAACGCCCTCGAGCTCTGCAGGCGCAACTTGGAAACCTCGAACCTTGATGAGTTCCTTCTTCCGATCAACAATATACCACAAGCCATTCTCCCTCCTCCTCACTGCCACATCACCCGCATGGAAATATCCCTCCTCGTCCCACGCCAAACAATTTGCCTCGGGATTTTTGAAATATCCCTTCACTATCAATGGGCCCCTCACACACAACTCACCCGCCACATCAAAATCAGTAATATCCCTCCCCTCCTCATCGACCAACTTCGCATCAAGATTTGGCAGAAATCTCCCCACCGACCCCGTTGCATCGTGCTCTGGATAATGCACCATGGCCGCTATACAGCTTGTTTCACTCATGCCCCAGACCTGATTAAATGGTGCATCCTCCCTTAACAACGCCTTCAACCGCGCCTGTGGCTCCGCGGCCAACGGCGCAGCCCCGACCCATGAATTCCGTATGGACTTTAAAGAGTACTTTTTTGTCAGCGGCGAATTGATGATGGATATCACCATAGGTGGAACCATATTGGCTTCTGTAATACCGAAACGCGAAATGTTGCACAGCCATGATTCGAGGTCAAAACGCCTCATCACGTATGTTTTCATGCCGCTGCGGAGCGCGCTGGTGTGAGCACGTGGTACATTGGAGACGTGGAACATGGGGGTGCAGAGGAGACGGATGACCTGTGTGCCATTGTCAATGGCTACAACCATATCTAGGAATAGATGCATGGAACAAGACGAAAAATTGAAAACACGGTCACACTTACTTCATAGTCCCTCGGCTTATATTCGAACACCATAGTATGCTGTGCAACGAAATTGTAATGCGTCATCTCCACCGCCTTGGGAAGCCCTGTTGTCCCACTGCTGAATAACCGCGCAGCTGTCGTATCTCTACTCCTTCTCTCGTTATCCCAGCGTATCCAATCCCTCTCTCCCTGCCCCAGAAGCCAGCGCCAACTCCTCAAGCCACTCCATTGATCTTGAGCAGTTATCGGCGCATCAACACTGGCATGGTGGTCGAATACAAAGACCCGGGTCCGCGGTATCTCTGCCTGATCCGCGGCTTCTAGTGCTCGGGCCAGGAGTTCGGGTTCGACGAGCAGACATTGCACGTCTGCGGTTTTGAACGCGTGGACGAGTTCGTAGACGGTGTGGGAGGGGTTTAAGCCTGCGAAGATGCCGCCAATGGACAGGATGCCGAGGAAGGCGGTGGAGTAGTATATCTTGAGTGAGTTGTCTGAGTTATCATGGGTAATCTAGTTGGCTTTGTGGGTTTTGCAGAAGGGGAAATGGGAAATGGAGATCTTGCAACGTACATCGTTGAAGGAAAGCATGCAGATGCAGTCTCCTTGTTTTAAGCCTAGGGAAGTGAATCCTGCGCATAATTGTTGGGTTATTTGGCGTGCTTGCCGGGAGGATATCGTGCGGGATGGATTGGCAGCGTCGATGTATATCTTGGTCGTGAGCTTGGTGATCTCATGGGGTAGTATGGCCCGTTTTCCTTTTGCGCTTCCATCACGGCGCGGATTTTGGGTGTATCAAACGTACAGGGATGTCTGGGTCATAGGCCTGGTCATCGAACATCCATGATAACAGATCTTTCTTTGGGATGTCTATGTGTTCTGTGGCTAGGAAAGGCATAGTTTGAGAGATTGTACGAATGAATTTGGTGTTAATGTATGACTGGATATTTCACATGAGCAATGGTATATAGTGTATCGTATCTCTAGTGTGCATGTAGGATGATGAATTACAAGAAGAACTGTACCCGTGTTTTTGACATGGAGATTACCAAATTGACACAGTTTACCCGAACTGTCAGATTGCGTCATTCGGGTTCGGTTTACTCCGGATAGCTGATTTGACTCAAGTATCAGGAAGTAAGACAAGCCGAGGAAGGCAATTAGTCGATGCGGGGTGCAGAAGCGGTGTGACTTAGAACTACCCCTCCACACCTTGCCATCATGAGGCTGAGTTGGCACCGAAAATCCCCCATTGTGTGTGCAACATAGCATTCATAGAAAGGTTGGGCATATTTGTATTGCCCGGTCGGCCTAGAGCAATCCGAATTGAAACGATCTTAGAATACTGGGAATGTCCCGTTTCCACATGGCGTAGGTATGTCTTTTTCCCTGATTCTACAAAATACCATAAAGACAAGTCTTGCCTCCTCCCTCTCAATCTTCAAGTCATTCCTTGATCAACTAGCCCCGTGCAATAACCCCACCACGTAAGAGGACTGGCTGCTCACTACTAAAGTTTGCAACATCTTCCATGACAGCCTTCGTTCCAGGGTCCTGGATGGCCTTGCCAAACGCCTCGAGGCTCTCAAATTCGAAGACGACGGTGAACGAGTACGGCCCGTCTGCAGTAAGTTCGCCGACAGTCCAGGATTTGAGACCGAAGGGCTTCCAGGTCTTCTCCACGAGAGGGATGTGTGTGGAGATGTAGTAATCCTTGTTGAAGGTGGATTTGTCTGTGCGTGGGTACGCGACTACGACGATGGCGCCTGACATTTTTGCGTTATTGTTGTGATATTTGGTGGCCGAGTAGATTTATTGAGGTGATGAATCTGAGAGTTTGACTTGTTGCTGTTGTTGTACCGTATGTTTCGTCCGCTGCGGTCGGTAGACTGATCTTTATACAGTTAGGTGGAGCCCATTTAAGATGGATTACCCCACTTCAACGTCCTTCTATCCGCCCACCTTCGTACTCCTACTTTGTACCATTGTCCGAAACGACACATCATCTGTGATTGATCGTCAAGACTACTCTGGTAAGCTTGCCTAGAAGTGTCGAAAATGTATTCATACTGGCCGGTTTTGTCCGGACATATTCCAACCAAATCAACCTTGAGCTCACTAACGAGCGGAATATGTCAAACTGCGAACACATACAACTGCCTACAATAAAATGGCCAATTCCACTGTATTTTTTCGATTTTGCATGCTCGATTGATCAGGAGCTGGCTCTTTCCCGCGCGTTCGTCAGCACATCAATGCTGATCAAACTCTCCTTGACAACCAACGTCGCCTCACTACCAGGCCTCATGCACTCTCCTGGATGACCAAGGAAAGGGACTGGGATATCGTTTCTGATACCTGATATCCCCACACCAGCCCACGTCGCGTCTCGACCCTTGGACAATGAGCCGACCTTGGCCCACACGTAGGCCATTCTACTCATACCATCCACCCGCAGGCCAACAACGGTATGCTGTTCATGCACGATAGATGCCAATGCGCTATTCGATATTGAGGAAGGTACGTGCAACGGGTCACTGGGATGATGAAACTTGATTGCAGCGCTCGTTCGACGTGCGATGACTGCTTCTCGGATGACCAAACCCTTTGCTGCATACTCGAACTTTTTCGGCATAGGAGTCTTGATGATACGCCCGTTTTCCTCATGAGTATAATTCTCGAGCTGGAGACGAAGATCCTCGTCTAAGCCTACCATCGCATCGGTCGCACGGCCCGCATCAATCATGCATGAGAGGCCAGATTCGAAAAAAAGCTGCAAGCTCGGGGAGAATGTCCCCAGCGTCCAGTATATGATTCCTAGGCAGTGTCAGTGCTTTCTCTGGCATCGTACAATAACAGTCGCCTATGTACTTTGATTAATTAGCGATCCAACCAGTGCTAGTTGCTCGAATTCCGCTGGTCGTGGCAGATTGAGCGATTGTGGTATATAATAGCCGACATCCTCTGTGGTCACTGTCGTTGCACAAGAGCCTCTTGGTTCATCATCCTCTTGTAGTCCCTCACTAAGTTCGTCGATGGTACCTTCTGGAATGCAACCACGGCGTCGTAGTTCTTGTTGCAATTCTTCGAATCCGCAGTGAGAGTAGTCCATATGCTGGCCAAGTCAATCGTGTTTGGTGACCGGACTAAGATGCGTTATCCAAGAGTGAGCGACTTTAGCGAGCGATCTGGCTGTCCGAAGTAAAAGAGCTTGTGTCAGGGAATCAGTAGTAAGAAAAAGATTAGGCAGCCAGTTGTCAGGTAAAATACGGGGACAGGCAGAATACTACGCTCGCGGTAGGTGTATGTGTATTCCAGCGCCTTCACCCTGCGTATATTTTTGCGCATGTGTCGCGCTCCAAACGAGCCACTGTTGTAGCTCTCGGTGTCAAGATTACTGTGTCATTACTATTAATAGCTCCTTCTAGTCACCTGCTTCCGCTTCATGAGTCTTCACGAACAGTACACGTTTACGTTGCCATGTGAATGGAACACATACCGGTACGAGTGATATTACTTGCTTGATTGCACAGAGTGCTCAGAATGTCGTAATTCAGTGCATAGGGAAAAAGGTCCACCATCTACATAATGTACATATCTCCAATTGATGGGCCTATTTGATGTGCTGTAGTGTTATTCCTTAGAACACCTCGTGGATTGGGATCCGCCTGCCTTCACCATCCTTCTCTTCTAAGGAGCCTTGGCGACGGTTGCCTATTTTTTCGCGACGCGGTTGGTTCCAGAACATGAATCTCACAACCATTCCAACATTAATTTCGGTTCAAAGTCATAATGCATCCCGCTCACTATACAAGCACATGCTACCACATTCACAGGCAGCAAGATGTCGGTCGCTTATGTGATGTGAAATACTGAAAACGCGGTGTCTCCTCTCGAGATTTGTGCAAAGAGCCTGACAGATTACAGAGACATCCAAAGAAGAGCCCAGAACCCCACTCGCTTCTCACGCTAAGATACGTGCATGCCTCGAATTTTCCACGCATTGAATGTAGTATTTTTCAAACTTGCCAAATTGTAGGCCAAAGGATGCACCTGCCAGTTCATACACAAAGCCGCTTTATAACTATTTTGCACTTACTAGGGCCTGCCAGCAATTACAAACAAATAGCTGAGATTAGATTCACATCCCAGTAATCTAAATTATGAATATGACTCAGAGCTCCTGAGACAGCCTCGACGCACTGTATGAGTGATGGGCATTGCCACCTGGCATCAGTCACCTTAACAAAATATGTACCATCAGTAACAGGTTCCATTGCACGTTCTTTCAAATCTCATGAAGGACATGCTGCCAAAGGTTTGGTCAATGTTGTGAGCAACGATCTGTAGAAAAGTTCTAGAAAGGAAGGAAAACTTTCAACGAGAACATTATTATGTCAGCATTGAGATGGATTGGAACATCGCCCAGATGAGCTACCTGAAGATAGTCCTCCGTCTCCTACTCAATGATAATCCAGCTTGGCTTCAAGAAATGCACTATGAAAAAGATCTCAAGCTGTCAGTCTCTTAGAGATCACTTGCAAAGACACAGAATAGAAGCCATTCATCCATAGTGGCCTTGCAACACAGAGTTCTTTATTCGGAATGTGTAGATGTGAACACTACCGAACCCTCCCGATTGACAGGAGTATTTATACGACAAGGTAATAATACTCGATCACATACTTTTGCCTTTACAACGTCAAAAAGTCCCCATGAAGAAGGGCGATCGCTAGCACATCTGTTAGGGGTCAAGGTTTAAGCAGACGCATATCCCTTCCAACGATTTTACGGGAACCATCGTAGTACCTAGTTCATAGTCACTGCATACCGGGGGTTTTTTTTTCATGGTACGTCTTGCCAACCCACCGAACTTGTATATCCAAGCGTTTCCGGTCTAGCAAAGTGACTTCAAAGCACTGCGATATATGTATTGACGAAAGTGGCGAATTTGAACATTGGGTGCACTTTGAGCTGCGGTCGTCCCCGCACGTATCCCGCACTGTACGTACTGTCTAGGAAAGCGGATGATAGAACTCGCCGATACGCTAGAGATCGCAATCCTGTTGACAAGGCTAAAGAGAGGGAGATCTTCGGAGGAATCTGCCAAACACTAGGATAAAAAAGAGTCATACTATATCCACTATGTATATCATAGCGAATAATTTTGTATTTGGAGCGAGCGTTAACTTATCCTACCTATATGAGCTGCGATTCCAACAATCCATAGCGGGTAAACTACGCGACGTCGTTTTCTCCATCTTTTCCATAATCAATGACGATCACACAGATACCTGCTCCGCCCCCAACTCCCTATGGCTGTTCGCGCTCCAGCAATCAAACCTTATTATCCCGACTAGGTAACCCACCCTCCTCCGCCATGTCAACACCGACAAGGCTGAACCACGTTCCGGCACTTGGTCCATGACGGCAGCGCAAGCCTATGGGACAAAAAAGGCTGGATGCACACTGCAAACGTATAACGGGCCCAGTCTAGCCTGCGCGCGACACATGCAGAGTAGCCAAACTGGCAGCTCACCCAGATCTAGCGGGTCAGGTTTTTAAGGTTCGAGGAGACCAACTGCTCGTAAACGGATGGGCGCGGATGTGGACAGCCGGAAAGAAGAGAGTGTAATGAAGACGAGGTTGCGGTGAGAGAGATATTCGATATTTTTCAAGAGCGTAGCAGGTTGAATGTGTGCATATATAGTTTTGAGTGCTTGAAACATTTCCCGCGAAATACTGGCATCTCTGAGACTCGAGCGAGACACACTGATTGATCGCCGCCAGGGAATGTAAAATCGATGTGCAGGAACGGCCCGAGTCCAATGCGCACCCTGTCGTGGTACCTGCGTCACCCATCTGCATCAACTTTTTCTTGCGGTCCCAAATGTTCATCAAGTTAGCCGAATTCCATCATACATACACCCCTTGCGTAAAAAAAAATCGCGAACAACTTGCCGACGTATTCACATGGCTGGTGTCCTATTTCCCACATCGCCGAGGTGGCTCCTTTGCCATGCAGGGGTTGGTCTAGAGTCCATGTCTAGACAGCCTAGACAGATGGCGCAACAGTGGCACGCCGGAATCAGTAAGCCTCACACGTGGTGTCACTAACCCAGATCGGCCACATGGCCGATCTGATCACAGCCATGAGGTTCCACTGATATGTTTGTTGAACTGGCCAGGTGAACGGTAATTTCCACGTGGTGGCGCATGGATTAGCTTTGTGGCCTTGGGATTTGAGAGATGGGAACGCTGACAGTGAGAAGGTGACGAGCATACAGGTAGCGTCGGCAGAAAATGATGGCATTCCTGCTTTGCCGTTTTGAAACTTGACGCGGGGACAGATAGTCGGAGATGGCCCTGCATTCGATCTGCAGGGTACCGGTATGAGGTCGGCGCCGAAACTCACCATCCCCTTCCCTGTTCCTATGCTATTTCGATAATACCTTGGCAGATGTTCGGCAGACGGCTGGTAAAGTGCCGATGCCTAATAGCAAGTCTGAAATCTGAAACCATCACCGAAGAGCTATTGAAGCAATATGACAGCTGTCGCGGGGTCAGATATTTCCCCTCCTAGTCTCCGCGTTACCTAGAGCACGGCAAGTGTCCAAAAGCGTACAACGGTCTACCTAGCGCCCCAGATTACATTAAACGAGAAATCATGCCGCCGAAGTGGATGACATCGACACTGTAATCTGGGGTTTCGCTTTAGTATCCTATTTTCCTGCATATTTTGTCCGACCTCGTTTCATCCTTGTACCCATTCCATGGGCTGTGTCATGCTCTGAATCCATGCTGGTCGTCAGGGAATTCATTGTAGTCGATTGAAGAAAACCGCCGGATCGCTTCTCACCCATCTGGAATTGCGATATGAGGTCCCCAGCCTTGCTTCTCCCATTGATGGCAGTATGGCCTACCACCCTGGCACAAGCTGAATCAGGAATGCTCGCGATGGTAGGGCAACTTCCAAGCTGCGCGGTAAGTAGCCCTCCATTACCCTGGCTTTTAATGTACTAATGCTTTCCCTTAGTCGTTGTGTTTAGCACAAGAAGTGCCCAAGTCACCTTGTCAACTCACAGACGCAGCATGTCTCTGCAGCAATCCCGAATTGCAAAGTAGCATCGAGACGTGCATTGCGCAAGCATGTACACCACGGGAGAGTCTGACAACTAAGAACGCCACATCGACCGCATGTGGTGCTCCCGTCCAGTACAAGGGCGAAACCACGAGGCTCAGCAACATTGCGCTGTCTCTTCTCACAGCTGTACTGATCGCAGTGCGCATGTCTTACCAGGCCTTCTTTTCCTCGTGGGACTTCGGCTGGGATGATTACACTGTGCTTGCAGCCTGGCTGTCCGGTGTACCATCTGTGATCATCATCGATAAGCGTGTGCTACCAAATGGGCTAGGACGAGGTGAGTTCACGCAAATAGAGTACTTAGAGGCGAGGAACTGACCTGTTCAAGATATCTGGACCGTTCCCTTTGATCAGTTATCCGAATTTGTCCGCTGGCTGTATGTGCTCGAGGTTCTATACATTGTCCAAGTCGCGCTGCTGAAGCTCACGCTGTTGATGTTCTTTTTGCGCATCTTTCCGATAACAGGGACGAGACGAGTCATCTGGGGGACCGTCGTATTTACCATCGTCTGGGGACTCGCCTTCACCATCACAGCGATCTTCCAGTGTTGGCCCATTTCGCATCAATGGGTTTCATGGGATCAGGCTAGATCTTCGGGCAAGTGTATCCATATCAACGCCCTGGGTTGGAGCCAAGCAGTCATCAGCATTGCTTTGGATCTTTGGATGCTCGCTCTCCCGCTGTACGTGGTATCACGCCTGCTTTTATCTTGGCGTAAGAAGGCTGGCGTCGCCATCATGTTCTGCGTTGGAACCTTCGTCACTATCGTGTCAATTTTACGACTGCAGTCCCTCGTCCATTTCGCCGTCTCGACCAATCCAACGATGGATCAACGCGAGATCATACATTGGTCAAACATCGAAGTCAACATCGCGCTGGTATGCGCTTGTCTGCCTAGTTTGCGGCTTCTCCTGGGCCGTTTTCTGCCCAAACTCATGGATATGAGCTCGAAAGGTGGCAGCAGACAGAATAACTCTTCCTCTGGACCAAGAAGAGAAGGCGTATCCAGAAATAAAGACAGAGATCTGGAACTAGGCATGGGCGAGCCGAGAAACTCAGATACAATCGCTTACACGAAGACGTTCGAAGTGCACCATAGGGATAATGACGAGATTCCGCTTGTGCAGGTCAAGGGAATGGCATTCGGGGATACGAAGAGTCAGAAGAGCAACAGCAGCGTGGTTAGCAGTTGAATGAAGCCTAAATATACGGACGCCAGTACAGTGGGAAGCACTGCTGTTGTGGCAGGCAAGAGGTACAAGCCGACAGCCGCAGATATTACTCCTTGGACGGAGATAAATGGTCCTCCCGAAAGCGACTTTGTGTCGAAATAAACACTATAAGGCTGCGCTGAAATGTGTGAGGATATTGCAGCGATTGGCAGCCAGCACCATCTGGACCAGGGGGATTCCTGATATCAGAGTGTTGCACAGCTCTGGGGGCACAACTGTGTTGAGCATTGGCTCTGACAGCTCTGTGGACAGGAAAGGGCTTGAGAAGGACAGAAATTGAGCTTGAGGAAAGGTCTGAGGTTTACTGTGGATGAGTTGGAGATTGTATAATGAGAGGTATGAGGCGGCCAGACTGCAGGATCTTGGCCTAACTAGATTGCCCTCGTAGTTGGAGACTATAAATGACAGTCTTTTCTATCCGACTTCACATGTGGTTTTATGTCTGCCTGGCTTTTTAAAAACTTTGAATATCGTGTGCTCTTCGCTATTATTGTGGCGTAGTCGATTTAGCAATACATTCGGGGTGTAGATGGTGTAGGTGGTGAAGTGAGTGACGTCGCAAGAAGGTGCGGAACTCGTGCGTTTCCCCCAGGATTTGGCGCACGGGCCGTTTGACAGGCCAACGCTAAATCATTGTCGCAGTCGCGACTTAGCGACGACGCGCATCGCCCAGCAGACTCGACGTCAACCTCACACTCCACCCCACCACTACGACGCCCGAAATACGGGGAGCAGGATCGCCTGCGGTCGCCGAAATGGCGCCCTTCGAGCTAGCCGCTGCAGCGGACGATGCATCGATGGGCGACTCCTTCACCCTCAACCGACAGCAACTGGAGCTCGACTTCAGCTTCGCACCCCGCCAGGTCAAAGGACGCACTACACTGGAAATACAGCCTGATAAACCGCAGCTGCGCCAAATATCGCTCCACTGCAGACAGCTTACGCCGACCAATATCAAAATTGACGGGCAAAAGGCCGCCTTCACATATTCGAACCTTCACCAGCATCTGACCTTGTATCCTGGTAATGGTCTTGGGCAATATCACATCATCAAGAACCGGATAAAGCGCCATCTTGAGGAGCGCGACGATGAGCTAGTCATATATGTACCTGACAGCATCAAGGTCCGCGAAGTGAAGCCCTCTGAGGCGGGCATGGCCGATGATGCGCAGGGCATATTCTATGCCACATTCAAGCTCGAAATCGAATACGAATTGAATGACTTCCGGGACGCTTTGCACTTTGCTGGAGTCGAGGATGGTGATCTCCGCTTCCCGCACGCCTACACACGCAATTCGCCCTTTCCTGGCACTGCATCTTGCTTGTTCCCATGCATCGATGACGGGGAGCAAAGAACAATATTCGAGCTGTCCATTCGCTATCCAAGGACATTGGGGGATGCGCTCAGTAAGAATGCGCGTGGAGCTGCTGTGGATGCGCTGGCTGCGACCAACAGCATTGAGAAAGCTGATAGCGTTATGCTTGATGCAGATGATGATGAAGTGGATCTTTCCGAAGAAGAGAAGGCTATGGAGATGCAGGTCATCTGCTCAGGCACTCTGACGGACGATGTACGTCAAGGTGTACTTTAGAACACGAAACTAAGCTGACAGCGTAAAGATTGTTGACCCTACAGATGCTTCACGAAAAACTGCCAGCTTTGATTGCGGCGAAAACCCTGTACTTCCACAACATATCGGCTTCGTCATCGGCCCTTTTCAACATGTCGACCTCTCCGAATATCGCGACACCGTAGACGATGAACGGCTCGGAGAGAACGCCATCAAAGTGCACGCTTTCTGTCTGCCAGGAAAGGAGGATGAAGTCCGCAATAGTGGCATGATACTTGCACGAGCTCTCGACACCTTTACCGAACGCTTCCAGAGTTATGCCTTTGGCAATGCGTACAAGTTGGCGTTTGTGGATGATTTGGAATACGACACCACACATACAGCCTCATTCTCGATATGCAGCTCACGGCTACTCTTTCCAGAGACTGTGTGGGAGCCACTTGAGTATACCACCAGGGTCTTGGTCCACGCTGTAGCCAGCCAGTGGATTGGCGTTGATGTGGTAGCACATAATGCAGAAGACTATTGGATCATAGTCGGTGGTTCGTGGTTCATGGCTGAACTCTACCTTCGGGACCTTTTTGGCCGAAACGACTGGCGCTTCCGGCAAAAATTGATGGTGGACAAGGTCATCCAGATGGATAAGAAACGGCCCTCTCTTCAACGTCTTGGTGAATATGTACGGTTAGACCCTGCTGAACGCGAGTTTATGGAGCTCAAATCACTCATGGTCCTTTCCATCCTTCACAACCGACTGGTCAAGCAGAGCGGCAAGAACGGTGTCGATCGCTGTCTCTATCGGATGTTATTCAATGCTCGTCAAGGCAAGTACTCGAACGGTGCAATAGCCACTGACGATTTCTTGGATATCTGCGAAAAGGTCGGGCACCAGAAGCTCGAATCGTTCTTTGCACAGTGGGTTTATGGCTCTGGATGCCCGATCTTCCAGTGTTTCCCATCCTTCAACAAAAAGAAGCAAGTCGTCCAACTTCAAATTACGCAGGAGCAAGCCCAGCCATCAATCACGCGCATTGAGAGTGGCCTCACCGCAGAAGACTTCATGCGTGAGGCTAAAGAGAAGGGGCATGAGGTGCAATCAGGCACAGAGTATCCAACCTTTGTGGGACCCATGACCATCCGTATCCACGAAGCGGACGGTACGCCATACGAACACATTGTTGATATCAACTCTGCTAGCGTGAAGGTGGAGATTCCATACAACACAAAGTATAAGCGGCTCAAGAGAAACCGTCTGAACAAGGAGCGCATGGCGGCAGCTGCAGGCCTTGATGCATCCGGTGAGACGCAGGAAGACGTCACCTTCTACATGCTAGGGGATCTTTTCACAACACCTGAGGAGCACGCCGGATGGCGACTCGACGACTGGCCTGCTGAAGATGAAGCGAAGCAGGAGCAAGAGGCCTATGAATGGATTAGGATCGACGCAGATTTTGAATGGATATGCAAGACAGTTATAAACGACATGCCATCGTATATGTACGTTTCACAGCTACAGCAAGACAAAGACGTTGTTGCCCAGGCCGAGTCAATCCAGTTTCTGGCTCAAAAAGAAGGACATAAGCTCATTTCGACCTTCCTCATCAAGACGTTGATGGACAGTCGATACTTTCATGGAATCCGTACAATGGCTGCTGAGGTCATGGCACAGAGCGCGCTGAAACGAACAGAGTGGATCGGCCTTTTCCACTTGAAGAAGGCTTTCCGCGAGCTTTTCTGCATACCAGGTTCTCCGATGACGCGGTCCAACGACTTTACCGACCGCAGCTCGTACCTTATCCAGTGCGCTATTCCTAGAGCTATTGCTAAGATTAGAGGTGAGGATGGTAGAGCTCCCATGGAAGTAAAGCGTTTCCTGCTCGACGTTCTCCAGTACAACGACAATCGTGGCAATGATTACAGCGACGATCACTACATCTCCACACTAATGCGCTGTCTGGCAGACTGCCTGATCAGTTCCAAGAATAACAACGATGATCTTAGCCCTGCCGAGTGGGCTGCTGAACAACGTTTCCAAGAGAAAGCGATCGGAGAGCTCACACGATACCAACGTCTGGATGAGTGGATACCGACGTATCAGAATATCTACACCACAACCGCACTTGAATGTGCAACGAAGCTTACCTTGAATCGAGTTACGCCATTCAAGCCCTCCGAGTTTCTACAATACGCTCAGCTTGGTAATGCCGACAATGTTCGTCTAAAGGCTTGGGAATGTCTTGTTCGCTTGGGACTGTTTCGTAAAGACAGTGTACTGAGGTTCATGATACATGAACTAAGGTCGGATCCGTCCCCCTATTTCCGCAAGCAATTGCTCCGCATTTTTGGTGTGGCTGTTGGCCAAATAGCTACTGGTGACGTCTGGATGCCAGAGAAGACGACCGGTGGCTCGTCGGACACGCTGGTCGTCGAAGACGCTGGCAACCTAGAGCGAGCCTCGGCACTTGCTCGTCAGAATCTGGAGGGAGCCTTGCGAGAGCTCAAAAGCGATTTGAAAGACAATCAGACTCTCCGTCTGGCCATTGAAAGCGCCTTGCAGTCCACGACACTGTCCACCAGCGACATGTCGGAGCTCGTGGACTTTTGTGACATGGTCTTTGATCATCTGAAGCAGAACAGACTACTTGTAAAGTTGAAATATCCCCGCTACTGGAAGGCGGAACATCTTGGCAAAGGAAATGTACGGTTTTCTAAGACTGACAAGATTCGCATGAAACCGATGCGACCATTCCAGCCGCCTGAACCAGCGCGATCGGTCGAACCTGTTGTGCTACCACCGCCACCGCGGCCCGTTCCACTTCCAAAGTTGTCTCTCAAGCTTGGTGGGATCAAGATGAAGCCTGCAGCTGCGTCTCCTGCTGCGTCCCCACCCATTGTTACTGATTCACCATTAGTGCTCAAGAATTCTAGCAACTTGATGCCAACAGCCACCACACCAGCAGCAACTCCTGCGCCCGCATCGACCAAGGCATCGCCACTCGCGTCGCCAGTCATCAAGGATGACTCTCGCGCATCATCACCCGACATACCGCTCAAATTACCCGCCATGGCTCCACCGAAGAAACAAGCTCCACCCGCACCAACACCGCTTGTGCGGACACCAGTACCACTCCCCAAGCCAGCTGCTCCCCGACCAGCCCCCGCACCAGCGCGACCTCCTCTCATCAGCGTCCCCGCCGCCATCGCCACACCACCCGCCATCCAATCCCCCATCCCCCTCCCAGCGCCCAAGCTCAAGATCCGCACTAAGAATGCAAACGGCTCCGCAGTCCCCTCACCCCGTCCCAGTGCCGCGCCCTCTCCACGCCCCAGCGCCGGTCCCTCGCCTCGAAACACCCCCGCCCCCTCTCCACGACACACCGTTCCTCCTCCCTCCCGTCCCACGCCTTCCTCCTCCTCGTCCTCGTCTGCACCCGTGGCATCCGCGCCCAAGCCTCCGCGCCCTAAGAAGAGCAAGATTGTTAAACTCCGCGTTCCGCCCGCTGCGCTGGCCCGCATCGTCAGTGAATCCAATCGGAAGCGGAAACTCGGGGCTGCAGAGGATGACCGGCCTTTTAAGAGGCAGAGTTTGGAACCGGGGGGTGCGGGTGCTGGTAGTGGCGCTGGTAGTGCTGCTGGTTCTGCTGTTGCTGGTGCTGCTGGTGCAGCTGGCGGTAGTGCCAGTGGAAATGGGAAAACGGGCCTGGTCAGGGTGGAGCGGAGTAGGGGGGATAGAATCCGGATGATTGTCAAGATCAAGTTTAGTAAAGGTCGGTTATCGGGTTTTTCGGCGCTGCAGTCTTGATGGCGTTTGTGCTGTTGTGCGCGGGTTTGTGTGAAGGGCTGGTTGTGGGGGAATGGCTGCGGGGAGGTGGGGCGGTTGGGCCGGGGTGGGTGGATGCATTGCATTACATGGGCGTTTTATTCTCTCTTTCTTTTGAGGGCGTAATGGGGGATGCGTTTGTGTGCGTGGTTTGGGATCGACAGATGGCATGGCATGGCATGCTCTCCCTATGCACGAAGGTTCTCAGGGATATCCAATCCGCACGTATTATGGACATCAATTTTCTATCTGCATCTCTCACTTCTTCTCCTCTTTCAGACGGGAGTGATGGTGATGGTGATGGTGATACCGAGTGAGAGGCACAGTGGCAATAGTGTTTGGCATTCAGCGAGGGCATTTTTTTTTGGTCTTTTTTGTCTTTTTGGGGAGAGTGCATGTGCATGTGCATGTGCACGTGCAAAGTGCAAGCGGAAAGTGGAAAGTGGAAAGCGTGCCCTGATACGTGATTGGTTCGCAAAACTTCTTGCACAGGTGAATGAGGTGGTATCCTGTGAGATGGAGAAGAAGAGAGGAGAAGAAGACAAGGGTCAAGGAGAGGCAAGGGGAGTTGCAAGCTTCGAGTGGACATGATTTTTATTTTTATTTTTATTTTTGGGGGACAATCATCTACCAGGGAGAAAAGTATTTACAAACGCCGACTTTCCCACCCAGCACTGAAATCTTGAAAGATGACTTGGAATGGCATGTAACATCCCCCCCACCCCCCCTCCCAATCTATAGATTTTCAAAACTAGCATGTTTAGCTCGGGTATAGGTAGATACCTAGAAGTATACCTGACCGAAAAAAAAAGCAAGTAGCTTAACACAAAGGGAGTGCTGGAGGGAGTGGTGTGGAGTATTGTTTGTAGGGGCGGGGGTGGTACGAGGGTATAGGGGTTTGGGGATATATTTTGGTTTACTTTCCTTTCCTTTGGTTTACTTTCCTTTCCTTTGGTTTACTTTCCTTTCCTTTGGTTTATTTCCCTCATCTTCAGTCTGCTTCAATCCGATTGGATTTGCTACTGAAATAGCAGTATACCGATATACACAGTAGCTTCTGAATTCATACCATGCTACGCCATACCATACGACGCCAAACTACGCCATACTATACCGCATATAACCTATACGATCCCATCCCTATGCCGCATATACCAGATCCATCCCTATACCCCATACGCTACGCCGTTGATACCCAGGGAAACACTCCCGCTTCTGTTCCCATGTATACATGATCCCGTATCTCAGACGGAGATTTCACATGTCTATACTGTATGAAAAAGAAGAGAAAAAGAAGCGCACAGTCTGTATCCTCAGCTGTACGACCCGGAGAAAGAGAAAGAAAAAAAGTGGGTATCATGGAGAATGTGAAACAAAAGGGATGAGAAAAAGGTGGTTGCTGGGGAGGGGTGGTACACAAAATGAAGAAAGACAAAAGACACGCGACACGCAAGGACAACTCTTCCCTCAAGACATCCACAGCAATCTCTGGACAGACCGAACACCAGACCGAAACAAGGACCCAGGCACAGGCAGTTGTGCAGTCGGCGTGACACGTCGGCTCGCCTGCTCAAACGCCAACAGCGTGTTGCGCTCTCCCTCCTCCGTCTTGACATCAACCACACCATCGTCGGCCGCAGACGCCACACTCCCAACCCCACCTGTTGGATCCTCTATTTTAATTCTGCGCTGGCGTCCCCGCTTCTTCTTCTTCGATCCCCGCGGCCGTCCACGGCCCCGTTTTGGCAGTGCTGCTGGGTGGGGTCTTAGTAGGTGGTTTGCCGCTGGGGGAACTGGGTAGTGGATTCTCACCCGGAGAGGCGGCAGGTGGGGAGGCGGGTGCAGTGGCGCTGGTGGGCAGGTCGCCAATAGCGAGGTTGGCTGCGTCGAGGGGGGCCGGGGGACTACTGGGATCCTGGGTGATGGAGGGGTTTTCGGATTCGGATTCGATTTCGTCGTCGTTGAGGAGTTGGGCGGAGGGGGTGGAGGGGGTGGGGACGGTGGTGGGGGCGCAGGCGATAAGGTGGGAGCAGGAGAGGCAGTGAATGTCGACGTGCCAGGTGGTGTTGTTTTTGCGTTTGCGCTTGTCGGTGACGGTGAGGCGCGGTTCTTTGGTGTCGGATGTGCTGAGTGTGGCTTCGAACGAGTCTCTCCACTTGTCTTTGGATTTTTTTGACTGCGCCGGCGCATGTTGTTTATAGGCAGCTTTCCCGGCATGCTCCTCAAGACAGCGCGCATGTAAATAGATGGAGCAGGAGGGGCACTGTACAAGAGATTCGTCAGGATTGCTAGGCTTCTTGTCGACGCAGTATGTGTTTAGCTTCTACGTTCCGTTAGTGATGGAGGCAGAAATAGGGCCAAGGAGAGGATAACACACGGTCAATTGAGAGCCCTTGCGTTTGGTAATGTCCAGAGCCTGCCGCCAATACAGCTGATCGGGCGCCGGAAACTTTGAGCTGTCGGGGCTGTCATCCCAGTATATAACATCGGCAGCTCCTTGGACGCACTGGGCGTCGATAATGTCCATGTGATTGCTGACTATGAGCTCGCATTCGCCGTCATGTCGCTGTCGCCCCTCGGGAAGGTCTTCTGGCCGATATACCCAGTAGACGCGCAAGTAGACGTGTAGGGAATCACCAGCACGCACTTCGAGAACCTTGGCGATCCAGTGTTCGATGACTTCTCGTGTACCCGACTGATCTGCATCCTTCTTGATGAAGACAAAGTTGTTGATTTCGAATTCTTCGCCGCTGACTGTGTCCCGACATCAGCATGGGCTTCTCTGACCCCAAAAATAAATGGCAGGATAGGGGGCCATTACTAGTAAACTTGCGATAGCGCTGGGTGCTCTCCCACTCGCGCGCTGGCTCGACCTTGCAGTAGACGTCCGCCAGATCCGTTTCTGGGAAGGGATTCTCCTGCGCCACTTGGGCACTCATGGATGCGTTCTTGTAATTTTCGGTCGCTCTACTGGTTTTGATGGCTGTTTTCTGCTTCTCGGTGACTGGCTTGACGGCTTCTTTCTTGGTCTTGCGCCTGATAGCCGAAAGCTGGAATCCATCAAAGTCGTCGCGCAGGTCTATGGTAGACCAGTCGACCTTTGTGCTGGTCGTGCGTTTAGCGTGTAAAGCCGACAGAGGATCGCTGCTGGATTCCCGTAGCTCTTCGACCTTGCGTTTGCGTGCCATTGAAAAGAAGGGTTGCGAAGCGGGTGTGATTGAGTCAGGGAGAAGAGGAATGGATGGCTATATTCTGGTCAGAGCTAGGGAAGCAGCAGACCACATGGGAGACGTGGCGCACTGTCAGGAAGCTTGGTAGGGCTTGTCGTTGCGACTGCGCTCGGTCGCGAAACGAGTCAATGTTGGGAAAAGGCAGTGGGAGAGAAATGGGAGTCTTGCGTAAGATGGGAGTTTTTCTTTTTGAGAGAGTGGAGTGGGTTTCCACTTGACTTTGACGTTTTGGATGGGCGTCAGCGTGGTGTGGGCGCGACTTTGACGATGACATGCAATTTGGTGGACGCGTTCGAGCTAGCGGGCTTTGGGTTTGGCCGATCATCCAACCGTGCACATGTCAATACTGCGTATTACATCACGTGCTGACGAGTTGCGCCCAGATGTCCAGATGTCCAGATGTCGGCCCAGTGCCGTACTCTATTGGGATGGGGTGCTGGGATCGGGCCGAGAAGAAGCCATGGACTAGAGTAGAGTAGAGTACTTACTACTACTACTACTACTACTACTACTACTACTACTACTACTACTACTACTACACCGTGCTCTAGGATACTCATGCGCTCAGGTAGTTTGAGTATCATGTGATTTGCCACTGCTACATCCTGGCTATGTTCATAGCACAAGACAAGTAACGTGATCCTCAAACTAGCCGAGATAACTAGTACGATGGAGTGCAGTCCACCATGGCAGACACATCCCTGCAGTGCCCTCCCTCGTCGGGACTCGGCAGTGGTAGCCGCATGTTTGTGATGGGCTGTTGGCTTTCCTGTTTGTTTCGTGCGTGGTGTGATGTTTGCATCGAGATTGGATGATGGCCACAAGCTGGGCAGTCAGTACTCTACCATAGGTGGCCATGAGCAAGGGCTTGGTTGGGAGACGTTGTGCTTGTACTTTCTCTCGGCCCCGGTTACTGGATTGGACCCCTGGAGACAGCTACCCGACGTACTCTACTGTACAAAGCTTCTCCCTGCTCGATGATGACGTTGTGCATGACGCGCGTGGAAAATAGGGTCGGCGGAAAATAAAGTCAAAAGAAGCTGGGCATGCATACCTGGGCATGTACCTACTCTACAAGACCTACCTCGAGGCAGCCTACTACCCAGATGCCATGGCAGGGTTCGGTGCATGTTCCCTGGCAGAGAAGGACACCGGGACAGGTAGCGGTATGTACAGTAGCTAGGTAAGCTACTACGCCATGTGCACGGTAGGAGTACATGCCTACACAGTCCACAAGGACCAGTCCGCAGTACTCTACGCGACCCCGTTTCCAGGGCGTCGGCATTCCTGCGTCCTACGACCAACCATCACAACAACACGGCGGTCAGAGCAGGCCAATTGCCGTTGTATTCTTTACCGTATTGTGCAAGACAATATACATGACAAATGGCGCCTTCGCCCAATCAGCAGGCGTGGGCGACATTTGGTGGGAATATGCTGCATTGGGAAGCTGCAAAGCACACACGCGGCCTCGCATCTCGCTCTGCCTGTCCAACTTTGCCCAACAGACGCAGGTACCAACAAGTAGGCACATACTCTATAGTAGGCACACCCTCCTCCCTACTACTACTACTACTACTACTACTACTACTACTACCTACCCACAAAGACTGTTGGCCTCCAGTGCGGCCTAGCAGGGTTGTTACTACTACTTTATAAGACTTCAGCTGTCTTTTGGTCGGACTACCTATGTATAGACCGTCTCACTGTACTCCAGCCACCCCTGTGCGGCGATCCCAAGCTTGCTTTCCCCATGCTTTCTTTTCGTCATTGTTCGTCCACTTCCAGTCCCAGACCCCTGTCCGCCGCGCGCCTGTGCCCAGCCAATTCCACAACACTCTAGTCGACCCTGGCTTGGTCTGGTAGACAGACGCACGCTGCGCGTCCACCGTCCACCGTCCACCGTCCACCGTCCACTGCCCTCTCCTCCTCCTCCCTCTGGCCGCCTGCCTCTCTTGTGTTGCTGCTTCTCCTCAAAAACAACAATCCCCAGTCATTCGCTATTGACATCTTCTGATCTTGCTTGCACGCCTGCAAACCTTGTTTCTTTCCCTCGCCCACCCCTCCTCCGTCCCCGTGCCCTTTTCTTCTTGCTCTTGTTCTTTTCTTCGCAGCCTGCATCTCTCCCATCCATTACAGCAGCGACGACCGGGGCGCGTGTAGACCGCGAGCACTTGCCGTGTCTCTCCCTCCCACTACCTATATCCCTACCGTACCTTCCTGCCTTCCTACCCTTCCTGCCTTCCTACCCTTCCTACCTTCCTAGCCAACCTGCCTGCCTGCCTGCCTGCCTGCCTGCCTGCCACATCCGTTGCAACCGAGACTCTATTGATCGCTCTTGCCCGTCATGGGTCGTCCAAAGAGAGGTAAACCATGGCCCCCCTCTCCCTCCATTGTCTTCCCCTCCCGCCATCCCTCGCTCGTACACCCACTCTTGATTCACCACATTGTCTGCGGCGAAACATTGACTAATGCTCCGTCCTCGTCCGCCCACAGTCCTCTCCTTCATGTCGCAATGGGGCGGCAATGCCCATGCACACAAGAATCCCCCGTCGGCTGGAGCCTCGCCTGGCCCAGCATCTCCTGCCCCCGCATCGCCTACCACGAAGCAACCGCCGGCCTCTGCCTCCTATAACCACTCAGCCACCGCTCCAGACTCCTTCTCGCCCCAGTCACACTCGCGCTCGCAGTCATTCCAGCGCGAACGCTCCGATTCGCGGGCCTCGCAGCGCCCCATGTCCATGATTCAAACCTATCAGCCTCCCGTCATGGAGGTCAGCCAGGACACCCTGCCAGAACTCCAGCGCATCTTCACCTTTCTCAACAGCCACTCGAACAAGCTGTACCAGGAGGGCTACTTTCTCAAGTTCCACGATAGCGACACACGTACGTGGCTCCTCTCCACGACCACCCGGGTTGGGATACTGACTGCTAGCCTGTGTAGGTGGCCGGCCTGCGCCGGATCGAAAATGGCAAGAATACTTCGTTCAGCTCGTAGGCACCATTCTTTCGCTGTGGGACGCAAGTGCACTAGACCAGGCTGGTGGTGACGCTGAAGTGCTGCCCAGCTTTATCAATCTGACCGACGCTGCAATTCACATGGTCCGTTTTCCGCTAATTACATGCACGTCAACTGGCTGACCGATCAAGGTCCCTTCGATGACGCTCAAGGATGGCAAGAAACTCGACAACATTCTCAGTGTGTCGACGGCCGCAAGCAACAAGTACCTTTTCCACTTCGACTCCTATCATGCGCTCTCCCAGTGGACGGCTGGCATTCGCCTCGCCATGTACGAACATACGACGCTGCAAGAAGCCTACACAGGGGCCCTGATTGCCGGCAAGGGAAAATCACTGAACAACATTCGCAGCATCTTGGACCGCCAATGTCACAAGTATGAAGATTGGGTCCGTGTTCGGTTTGGCGCAGGAACGCCCTGGCGCCGTTGCTGGTGCGTCGTATCTCCACCAGATCAAAAGGAGTACATGAAGCTGCAGAAGACGCAGAAGAAGGCCAATGTCTATGAACGTCCTACCGTCCTCAAGGGCGACATGAAGTTTTACGACACAAAAAAGGTCACCAAGAAGACAAAGCCCATTGCAACGGTAACGGAGGCATACTCTTGCTACGCAATCTACCCACAGTCGAAGCCGCTAATCGATCAATCCACCCTGGTGAAAATCGAGGGCAAGATCACGGTGCACTCGAACCCGGAAAGCACGACAGAAGGATTCGTCTTTGTCATGCCCGAGGCACGTCCAGCCGTGTCAGGTTTCGAGATTATGCTCCAGTTCCTCTTCCCCGTATTCGACACTTTCAACCTCTATGGACGGCCGAAGAAGCTCATTGCGGATGTTCTGGATGCTCGCGGTCTGATGTTTGCAATGCCATCTGACCGACGCTATGGCTACCTGGAACTGTGGGATGTCGTAGGCTTGATCAATACAGAAGGGAGCGCGAACTGGTCGGAGCGTCAATGGAGGAAGCAGCTCAAGGATCTGACTTCCACCCGCATGGCAATTGGTCCGGCTGACACGGATTCCGTGTACAGTAGGGCAAGCCGAAGGAACACGATCAGTCGCGCAGGCTTGAATTCGACTAGGACCACAAGATTCGAAGATCGCGGCTCTATCCGCTCGAATCCTTCCACACGCCAATCCTCTCCTACCAGACAGGCCCAGTTCGATCTGGAAGTCCCAGGCCCACGACGCGTCGGCACAGCACCTGCAGCCTCGCCATTTGCTAACCCTAAGCATCAACGTTCGGTGTCGGAGCAGATCAATGGCCAACATCAGTATCAAACCGCAGCTTCGAGACGCGCACAAAACCAAGTGGTCTATGAAGATGACCGTGCGCCGACACCACCTCCACATGGAACCTACAACGAAGCCAATAATCGCTCGTCTGCATCCTATGAGCCGTACGAGAATGATGAGAGTCCCGCCCACGAACCGCAAAATCTGCCACTCCCACCAACGGACGTTTCCGCGCCACCTCAAGGCCCCGTCGAGCTCCCACCACTTCACGCGCATGCGGCGAACCAAAAGCCCCCTGTCCGCCCCAATGTACCAACTACCATGATGCCCAACGCGGCTGTCGACCCTGCCACCTACCATCAGATGGCCGACGCTACGAATACTTCTCTCCCCACCGGCATAGCGGCCGCTGGTGCTGCGGCTGCATGGCGAGCCCAGGAAAGCTTACACAGCCGACGAAGCGGCGACTACAATGGAAACGGAGACCATAGTCAGCCATTGTATTTGAATTCTAACACCCGGCCACCGCCTTCGAACAACAATTCGGGCAATCGACTGTCAACGATTCCTGCGTCACCCTATGTTGAGCACTCGGAGTTCGTCCCGTCTCAGGCAACGTATGAGCCTACAGCTCCGCCTGTCCCAGAGCATACGGAGCTTCGGCAAGCATCGCCGAATCAAGAACTCCCGTATCGTCCGCGCTCTGAGAGCGCAAGTGTTCAACGTAAGCCAGTACCAGGTCGGTCCCCCCTAGCCCTATATGAGGATGACACCCACTCGACCAAAAGCTCAAGTCTCGACAGTATACGAAACGAGGTAGTCGATCCCGACGCTCTCGACGCTCTTGTCAGCAGTCCCGCGCTAGTGCGCCAGCACAGCACTTCTAGCAGCCGCTACGATGAAGACGATACCATGGCTTCGTCGGAGCCTGACTATGCCAGTGTGGCTAGTGAAGAGCCGCCGCCACCACCACGCAGGCTTCCGGAGAGGAGAGAAGACCGGCCAAGAAGTGGCGTTTTGAAGATTATTGGCGACCCGAACTATAAGCCCAAGGCCGAATTGGCAGCGGATGGAACCTATGTTACTAGTGGGGATGGCGCCCCAGTACCGGTCGATGTGCCCAAATTCGACTTTGGTCCTACCTATGCCCTAGGTTTCGATGAGAAGCGGCCTGGTACCAGTGGTACAATGACACAAATGTTGCACGACGACAGTGCCAATTCAAAGGAAAACCTGGCAACCACTCCGAACGAGCAGAGACGTCAATCGTACATTTCAGGGCGTAGTACGCCTAGTGGCGCGCTGCACATGCGCAGTGGTTCGCATTCGCCTCAGATCAACGACTCGCGACAGGTACCATGGCAGCCTGGCATGGCATCACCGCCACAGCCCGATAGGGAGAGGCTGGATCCCGAAGATTGGGTGATGCATCGTGCCACGCAGCAACCACAGGCTCTCATGTATGCACACAGAAGGGCCAAGTCGCATACTCCTCCTCCTTTTGGACGCTCGCACTCGGGAGACTGGAGTCAGTTCCGACACAGTCCGGACGGCGGCTCTCCAGGGCCCCGCCCTTTGAGTCGGCCTCTTAGCAGGCCCCAATCTCGTGGCGCGGAATTGCTTCTTGACCAGCGGTCGACCAACTTGACGGCGCGCGAGCAAGAACAAGTAGCGCGCATGACTGGCACTCCCCTGTTGGATCTGTCGCAAGAGCCTAAGAACTTGCAGAAGCCTGCTCCGACAGGACTGACTGGCTATATTGACTTTCGCGAGAGGGAGAAGGCAGCAGTGAAGGCGAATCGCCAAGGCCACTCTTCCAGTATGCAAGCAGAAATTGATAGGAGGACATTGCAAGCCCAGCATCGCCAGATGATGGAGACTCAACAACGTCAGCGTGCATACATGGAAGAGCAGCAGCAAGCCATGCAGCAGCAATACGCCATGGCTCAGAGCAATTATGCACCTAGCGTCATGGGCACACCAAGCGTCATGGGCGCTCCCAGTGTCATGGGTGCCCCCAGCGTCATGGGCATGCCCACGGGTCCAGGAACTCCCCAGGGGATGGTGGGCATGGCATACACGACACCCAGCCCTTTGCTGTTCCAGCAACAACAATACTTTCCCCAACAGGCTGCGACACCGCACATGAGCATCCCCGGTGCCTGGGTCTCGCCCAGCCCACAGACGGCTCAAGGACAGTACTTTACGCATCCGGGTGCACAGCAGGGCATGGGCAACATGGGCTATCAACAACAAATACCGGTCACACAAGCTTATGGAGCGAGTTTTGACCAGGCGCAGGCGGTGAAGAATGCACAGCAGCAGCAGGGTCGGCGGTAGTTGTAGGATGGAAAACACAAAAGCATTATTAGACATGAAGTTGCTGAAGCAAGGTGTCGGGTAATCAAGGGGTTTCAAGGGGGGTTGCAGAGATGATTAATTCTTTGTGGGGTAGAGGTTGGTGGCATATTGGGCATTTGGCATTGAGCATTGAGCATTGGGCGTTTAGCGTTTAGCGTTTAGCGTTTGGAAGATACGATGGTATTGGAGTTTTGCATTTGTATATGTGTTGAACGGTGGTGGTTTTTTATGCCCGTTTTGGGTTGTGATTGCTTGACAAGAGAGAGAGAGTGTGTGAACTTGACAATTTTTTTTCGTTGGCGTGGTAATAAAGTTCATTCGAGTTGAGTGTTTAGTGATGGTCTCTATGCAAAGACTATAGATGGTGTGCTCGGGCTACTTTATGAGACTATGTTTTTCAAGGGGTGGGGGTCTGGACGGTGAAGCAACTTGGATTAGCATGGGACTGTGAATCAGACAATCTTGCAGCCTCGATGAAATTATATTTGGACAGGTTCAATGTGTATGGAAATCAGTATATTAGATCTAGAAGGTCATGGGTATCGCGTTTGAAGTGCTTTGGCTTTTTTGTAAGGGGGAGGTGGATGGGATGGGAGTGGGCTAGTTGAGGCTCTGGTTGGAACTGCGGTGGTTGATGGGGCGAGGGTGGAAGTATGGTATCATGGGTGTTTGATTTCATGTAGAGGGGTGGATGGGATGATTAGGTAAACGGTTTGAATAGTGGAGATTCAGGCTGAGATCCATGTAGGTAATATGCCCGCACTCCTTCCTGCCTCCACTCGTGCCTCCACTCTCATGCCTTCGAGAAACTAGGACTGGACAAGACATCCACCCGTTACGCCCGGGGATTTTCCTTCCTCTCAGAGAGATACATAGCCCAGACTATCTAAAGAAATCCACCAAGGCAAAAATTCCACCCTGAAAACGCACACCGAACATGTGAATGCGCCCGAGGGCAACAACTTGGGCAGTCGATGCGATTGCTGCACTCGGCGGAGCGAAGACAAGCAAAAACATGTCTAAATCTCATCGACAGCAGGTTCCTCCGGCCCATTCTCACTAGGAGAAGTCCCATCCTTTTCATCCTCCGACTCGACTTTAACGCTAGCTAAATCCCACACCATCAGCACAATCCAGGGTTACAGCAAACAAGCCTACACATCGACTTACACTTGGCCCGGCTCTTCTTCTTGGGCGAAGCCAAATCACCATCGACATCCTGCTTCTTGGCCGCGCGCTTGCGGGGCGTGGCGGTCTTCTTGGGAGTCGGCTCGTCTTGGTCGCCGTCGTCGGTCTGGAGGGCCTTTTTGCGGTTGGCTTTTTTGGGGGTGGCGGGGGGAGCGGTGCCGTCGGTTGGGGTGATGAGTTTGGCTTTTAGCTTGGCCCAGGCGTTGCTGGCGGAGCGGTGGTTGCTCATTCCCGCGAAGGCGGCGAGTTTTTCGTACTCCATCTAGAAAGTGGGAGGGGGGGGCGTGCGATGGAGTGACCTGCCATGGTCCCGTGGAGGTTGCCTCGGATCGGGCTCCAGAGGAGCCGCAGTTCTCCGGCTCGTTGAAGTCGTTGATGGCGTACGAGTACATTGCTTCCTGAAGCAGCTGGATGCCATTTAGGCCAGCTCCTTGACCATACCAGTCCGAAATATCGATTCGAAAAGAGTTCATGCCGACGACATTAACGAAGGTGAAATCCTGTACGGTTGTGTTGCCTTGTGGGAGAGGGCACCTCGCGTCGCAGTAGGCTTTTCGTCCTGTCGCCGGGTCCACATACGTCATGTTCAAGATGCCACCATCGGGAAGGGCCGTGAAGCGGAAGGTCTTGGTGCCGCGCCCTTGGATATCCGTATTCCACAGTTTCAGATGAGTCGGTTCGAAGCCAAAGCCAAAGTCGGCCTTCCAGAAGCCCGGCGAGGTGTCGGCGAGCAGCCACGTCTGATCTGGGCCCTGGGTACTGAAGTCGCTCTTGCAGGCGATGTTTCTGGGGTCCGTGAGTCCTGGGAGACCGGAGCTTGTCTGAGCGGAGATCCTGGCATTGCCGACAGGAATCGTCTGCGTATTATTCTCGGCGGAGACGGTGGCATTGACCGATCCTAGACCGTTGAATTCCCCAGCGAAGATGAGATTGCCATTGGGTGCACGGACAATGGAGTTGATGGGTCCGTTGAAGCCATTGAAGGACAGGTCCTGCCATCCATCCTTCCAGATGATGGCATTACTCGAATTCTTGCCGGTGAATACTCCGCCAACGTAGATTTGTTCATTATCTCTATCACAATAGAGTGTATTAGCAGTGCCATCGAGGCCGGTTAAGGCGTCCACATTGCCATTCGTCGGGTCGAGCAGCGCAATGCCTCCGGGGGTCTGCATCGGCCCAACGCTGGTGAAGTTACCGGCAAAAACAACGCGCTCAGCGCCATTGATTTGCAGGGAGCACATGGCCTTGATGTCGGCATCGGTGACGTTGATGGTCGCAAACACGCCATTAGGATATCGCGAAAGGAGGGCGCCATTGCGGCCGGGGTACTGCTGGCTCTGTCCTTCGTACTCGTACAGCGAGATGGAGTCGAAGTCGCCCGTGAATGCGATCCGTCCCAGTTCGGTCAGCTCGAGGTTCGGCGACGGGACAGGCCGGAATGTGTATGCGGTGGCAGTGGGTGACGCAATGAGCAGCGAGAGCGCAAGCTTGCCGGCCCCCGTGCGCAGGAGGGCAGCGAAGGACTCCCTCATGGCGACGGCAGAGCGGCGGGCCTTCACGGGAGGAGGAGGGTGAGGAGGAGGAATACTATGCGTCGTGTGAAGGTGCGAGAGTGGAGTTGGGTGCTGGCTATGAGGTGGCCGACTGGGGTGACATGGGCGTTAGCGAGCGAACTCGGTGTGTTTGCTGACGGGGGGAGAAATCGCGATCGTTGATCCAGGAGAGAAGACAGGCCCGGTTGGATGATATGATGGCAATGTTCTGGCAGCTGGCAGTCACCCCCCAGCGCGCGCTGGCCTGTTCCGGTGGGAGGGTAGGGCGCGAGTACTGCAAACGTCGTGTTGGAGGAAACGGTAGCGCTGGTCGGCCGTGGCAGTGACTTTGGGTCGCTCCTTCCTGGAAGAGGTGTGCGATACCTGATGCACGGGTGAAGGACAGCCCGTCGGCCGGTACTATGGTGGCTTGGCAACTTCGGCGTGACAGAAGTAGGTAAGCAAGTAAGTAGGTAGGTAGATAGATAGATAGATAGGTGATGGTGGGAGTGTATGCCTGAGTGACGGCAATGTATTAGGTGCAACGTGCTGATAGACAGGCGAAGGGGGTGTGCTTTCTGAAACGAATGACTGAGGTGAGGGAGTGACTTGGACGCGCACGCGGGCGGGGACGGGGGGGGTGGTTGAGTGACGACCGCCTGGATATTGGAGTGTTCGCTGGCCGATGAACAGAGGTCAGAGAGAGGGAGAAGAGAGGAATAGCTTATCGAGAAGATCCGTCAACCAGCAGTGGACCGCCGGTTCCTCTCACAAGGGGCGCACCGGACACGAATTGCGCCGTTCGTGTGTGTGTGTGTGTGTGTGTGTGTGTGTGGGTAAAATGGTAAAATGAGTAAATGAGGAGAGCTTGGGTGGAGTTGGCGTAGCGACGGCTGATTGGCGTGGAATTTGCACTAGCCCACCCGAGCTCATCTATTGGCGTGCACGCTTGGAGCCTGTTGCAACTATTCACGGTACCCGATATGTGTACCTATCCAACAACCAAACTCTGAGGAACCAAGTGCAGATTCGAGGTTGCGTAGGAACAGTGTACAGTGCCAACAACCCGAAATCGAATCGTGAGAGCTGACGGACAATGAGAAGTGCGAGGACCGAGCGGGAGTGGGCAGTGGCGATCGCTACCTAGCTAACAACCTCGCCTTGGCCTGCCCTGCCCTGCCCTGCCCTGCGCCCCTTTATCCTCGCCCGTTACACTTCAACAGTACCTACCTCGTACTCTGTCACTCAATCAAGGGTACTCCATTCACTACTCTAGATGCCTTTACCGTTGGTTGCGCATCCATCGTCATCGTGGCTGGAGTTACACGACACTCCCGCGCTTGCTTGTAACCGGTACCGGTGCAATAAGTACTCAGCAACGACCCAGCAACGACCCAGCCACGGCTGTGCGACGACGCTGCATCATCTTCTCCACCTCATGCCTTTTGCCCTCACATGGTCATGTCTCTGAGAGCTCTCTCTCTCTCTCTCTCTCTCTCTCTCTCTCTTTCTCTCTCTGAGTTGCTTGTATCCTGACATTCCTCCTCCACTCACCTAACCATACGCTGGCTGGTTGAATGATTCACCCGAGAGCAATTACCTGCATACAGAATATACACGGCTTATCCAAGTCATGGCCATTGCGCAATAAGACCCGTTGTCAACGGCGGCGGCGCATATATACTTAGTACTCAAGTTTGAGACCCTCATTGTTTGGCATGTGCCGTGTACCTGGCCTGAGGCGTGCACTACCCACGGTGACCTTGTCTCAAAAGCGCCGACATGCTCGAATGTCTTTCTCATCAGAATCTCCGCTCTTCTAATGCTTATGCTATCGTGAAAACTCGTAATGTACTCTAGTCTACCTAGTAGACATACAGCAATAGGAGTATTGGCCATGGGGCTTTGCTGTCATGGATCGACATGCAATTGTCATTGGCACCACACTACAGTAAGATCACCATCGCCACGATGCAAGGATAGCAATCCCGCCACTTGCCATGCTTCCGACCCTTGCACTGTGCGTGCCCAGCGTTCGATCATTGTTGGAAAGTGCATGTTTCACCTCGGACCCTTGTCGTACAAGCATCCAACACACTCCACTAGTACTACTAGGTACTTAGTAGGTATTGGGTATCACCAGAGATTCTAGCTGATGTATTCTGGACTTCTTTGTGCTCACAAATAGCAACACCACGACCGATTGGACCTTGATCGCTGCAACAGGCAAGGACATTGACATACTATGTTCAACACCGTCTATCCTGGAGACAAGTTGGGCACAGGTGGGCCAGAAGTGGGGTTGCGAGCATGGCTATCGGGGCTGGTGTTGCACGGCGCCATTGGTGAGCTGCGGATGTGTGCGGAAGTGATGAGGATGGGTTACATGTTGCCTATTAGGTATTGGAAGAGAGTGTTACCCATCAGGTATACAGAGAGTAAACTGAGGGGAAAAGTCCTTCAAAGTACCCCATAAACACATCGCATAATCCAAACCACCGCGCTGATGCTGGCAGACACAGTACTAGAAAGCTTGCTCAAGTACCGCATACCCTGTCATCAGACCCTCACATCTAGTACTTAGTTTTTCTCAATATCTACACCCTTCTCTTCACGTTAGAATCTCATCAGCAGCGTATGAAACTCTCCTTCATCTCAGCACATGATCGCATCAGTGGACAACGCCATGTAAATGTCCAAAGGTGAGATTGAACACGTAGGTTACGTGGTTTGCGAATACTTATGGAAGCACGCAAGCTGTGAGACGGCCGGTGGTGTTGTACTCATGCGCTAGGGTTGTTTGAGAGTCACATGATTTACCTCTGCTAGATCTCAGCGATCTTGATTGCACAACGCAAGTAACGTGACTCTCAAAGAACTTGAGATGATACTGCCTGCTTCCTCTCCAACAGCGCGCCTTGGCAGCCCAAAGCGGTGAGCGCAATCCGCATGCCTTTTTTCACCATTCATCCTTCCGCACGCAGCACGACAACGTATTTTTATATCTTCTGGCGAAGAGTTATTTGTCGCCATTTTGTTTGCATTGCACACGTCTACTTGGGTCACGTTTCGCTTCCAGTCTTATTAATTGTTCAAACATGAGGAAGCAGCTGTTCACTGACACGAGGACTTGTCTACGTCAGGTGCTGGATCAGGATAAGCGGGTCTTGTCAATAAGAGACTCGAGAACAACAAAAGACAGAGTCTGGGTTTGGCTAGCAATCGGTCGAGAGGGAAACTCTGCAGCCATGTGGCTGTGGCCGCGATCGTCATGCATTCTTCAAAGGAATGTAAGTGGGCTGGTGGCCTTTGTTCCGCTCTGAGGTATGAGACACGTGAGAACTTCCGCTTTGGTACCCATCTATCAGTATTGCTTGATGACCGTCTTCTTTGTTAGCAAGTGTTCCAGAAGGTCTACCAGCTATGCAGTTCATCTTGACCTCTCGTCTGTTCGCAACAGTCGAGGGATGCACAGCAAACGAGAACATCTACCGTCTCCGGTCAAGAAGAGAATTCTATGGTCATCGCCATTAAAAGGTATGGAGCGACCTGTACGATTGTTTACTTCGTTTATTCAAACGGTGCCACCCAACCCGGGCGTTGAGATCCAAAAACCTCTCCCTCCGATTCCATCATCTCCACAAAGCCCAGAATCCGAAGCTTCTATAGATTCGCCATTACTTCCATCACCAGATAGAGGTACCAGTGTCGGCCTGTGGCAAGCCCCAACTGAGTGGGGCTGGGACCTTTCGACTCCACCTACCCAACCTTTCAACACAACGACCATTTCACCTAACCAAAAGTACCTCCCGATACTTCAAGAACCATCACCAGGGCCGTTTGATCTGCAAGGCGACATGTTTGCTGGAGTACTGGACACATACGACACTCGACAAGGGTCTATGGACATAACAGTAGACATGGATGACAGGCCAGAACCGCCACCACGAAATCCTTCAAGATTATCCATCTCTCCAAGAATTTCTGGTCGACACGAATCTTACGGCTCAACAGCGTCGGTAGCAAACGGCAACGAGTCAAGTCTTTCGCACAGCGTTTCGAGCCAGATATACCAGGATCAATCAGGGCCATCACAGGTGTACAGTGATGTCTTCAATTTTACGCATTCTTATCGCAGTTCTGATGCATCTACAACAGCAAAGGCATTCGCATCTCTTGACATGGGATCACCTCGGAACAGCCAAAATCCGTGGCAAAGTCGAATCAATCGGTCTCAAGTGTCCCAGGGAGATGAGAGCGACCAGCAGCTTCTGGTTTTGAGGGGCAAGAACCTTCGACCATTCGTTGTGAGCGATCTGTCTGCTTCAAATGAGATGGAGGTGCCAGAAGTGGACGACAAGTTACAGCAATTAAGTTTCTCACAAGACTATCATGATGTACTTGCTCATGGCTACCACGGCTCTTATCCACATGGTGCGGACTTGATTCTGCAGTCTCCTCGTAAGGAACAAGAAATGATTCCTCGACCTTTGGCGTGGAGAAAGTCTTCAGGCAGCTCCTCTTCGGGCAGCTACTCCCAAAGGAAGCCATCCGTTAGGAAAAGAATCATTGCCTCGAGGCCAAAGAGGATCCATAAAAAGATGTCATCCTGGGTACCGCTTCAACACCTATACGCGAGCGATAAACGGCCGAAGATTGCTGAACGAGCTCCTGGACAATTAGCTGGTGGAGCCCGAAGTAGCCCACGGTCAGCCAAGGATGTGTCATCATCGAAGAAATCCAATCGCTTCCCTAATCTTCTGGCTCATGCAAAGGGATTCAGATATCACAATCATCGCCCAGGGTCCAAAGCTCCAACGAAAACTACCATGGGCTCTTCCCAACAGTCATCACGTGCATCGGCATCACCCATTTTATCCCGACCGTCACAGTCTACCACCCCACTGCTACGGCTACCTGGAGGATTGGCATTAGTAAGACGTGCGCCTTCTGATACACTACAGCCCGGTGCTCCGAAAATAAGCTATCCCTCTCCCTTCGTCGATACCCAATTTTATAGCTCGTACATTGACTCGCCGTTCCCTGGCCCGTCCGGACTTCGTCGACCATCATCATCATATAGTCAATCATCAGCTGCAAGCCCAGTAGCACCAGGAATGGCCATATATGGCAGAACACGCAACTCTACATGTTCCTGGCCATCCCACCGACCCCATTCCAGCACTTCATCCCTCCCCACCTCTCCCCTCGCCCACGAAATATTCCTTCCCCCAACCCCACCCCAACATCTCCCAAAGCCCAACTTAGATACTCTCCACACAAGCCAACCCATCCTCCCTCTTTCCACAACCCTCGACAAATCCCAACTCGACAGCTTCTTCGATCCTGACACGGCTGAAAACAGCCCCCAGAGCCCCCACAAATTGGGCCTCTTGCACAAGGCCAAAGACGTGCGCGACGCTTGGAAGCGCCATCAAAAGGACGCCAGGCAGGAGAAGCTCAAGCAGAGTATTCGCGTGCTTGGGCCCGTGGATATCGTGGGTGGTAGCGCTCGTAGCGCGAATCGGGAAGCTAGTGTGTTGGTGGGTAGTGAGGGTATGGGCAGGCGTGTGCTGGGTTCAGGATATAGGGGTTCGGGTTTTATATAGATTGTGAATGTAATTGTGGATAGATTTTACGCTTTTATTTTCGTCTTGTTGTATACGACTGGGACTAGTGGTGATGTTTTTTTGGTGCTTTGTAGCAGGGTGTGTCTCATGTGATGTTTCTTACGTGCTGTATCTTGACCTTGTGTCTGAGTATACTTATTCTCATTGTTCAGGTTTTTGAGCCTTGTTCGCACTGAAAGCTATCTGCATAGACAACTCACAGCAAGGCTGGGAATGCTACGGTGGATGTGCATGAGCGTTGTGGTTTTGGCAGTCTGTCAAAATAATGGGTGGCCTGACAGCCGATGTCCTGCGTTTACAGCATGCATGCGAAGTCTGTCCTTCACTGAAGGAAGAGGATATTTTGCTAGTCGAAGATCAAGCTGCCGAGGATGTGTATCCAGATGATTGTGCGGGTCTTGACTGCCAGTATCATAAGGGTGAAGAAAAGAGAGAAAGTTGGCACAATCTGCGGTGGTTAATATTCTGGCAAGCATCACTAAAAAAAATAGCTGAAAAGATCTTCTACACCTGTCGTTCATCGCTATGTAAGGTTCGGCCAACTATGTACAGGAAAGAGAAGCCGAGTCAATTATTAAACGTGAACGTACAACATTTGTCAGATCATTGCGCTCGCTTCAATTGGCCAATTATGCGGAGCATTCCTTCTTCTTGTAAACAAAGTCCAGGGGGGTGAAGTTGGGGTATCTGTAACCCTGTGCGTCATAAAGGGCAGTCATGTTTGACATTGACCCGTGCACAGGTACGAGGCTAGAATTAGGTATGTTAATAAAGCTCTTACGATCGAGGATGACTGCTATGGTACTTACAATGCGTTCTTGGCTACCTTGTGTTTTGCCAGCTCCTGGAGGAATTGCTCGAGCTGGCCGGCCTCATTGGCGGTGGGGAGTAGGTCAACGTTGACGAGGTGGTCGGCGTCGAAGATGAGAGTAGTGCTGTTGAGAGTTGGGCAAGGAGGCGTGATGATCATGAAGCTATGGTCTACAGCGTGCATGGCGCCCTCAATGTGGATCATGGTGGCTCTGAAGGTCTTGGTTTCAGCGACGTAGGGCTTACCAAGGCTAAGATGTGTTAGCATACTCGTGGCTTCTAGGCTTTTGAGCAATGTTTACCTGTAAGTGTCAAACTTGATGCCTGGAACCTTGGCGTAGTACTCTTGCGCAAAGTCTACGACGACGACCTCGGCACCTGCTTGAGCATAGGTACTCACGCCGTAAGAGTGGTCGTGGTGGTGGTGCGTAGGCTATGTCAATGTTAGTTTGAAGTGATGTTGAGAGATTTGATAGAGGAAGATTCATACCCAGACCTGCTTCACGGGCTTTCCGAGAGTCTTCTCTGCCCATTCTATCACTAGAGCGGATGCGTCAAGTGGAGCGTCAAGCGCAATAACATGGTCGTCCATCTCAAGCAGGATTTGGCGGTAGCGGAAGTTCTCAGGTAGTCGCGCAACCCACACACCGGGCAGTTCTGGGAACGGCTGGGTAACAGACAAGTCGGCAACTGTCGGGTTAGAACGTCCAAAGTAGATGTAGCTAGCGCGCTGCTCAACAATCTGAGCAGTTGCCATCGGGTCCTCAATGGGGATGTTGCGTTCTGTGATGTTGTTGGGAGCGTCAAAGAATCCGGCCTCGAGCTGGGGATTGACGGCGATGTCGTTGGCAAGGAAGTCTGTGATGAAGCGATCATTGTTGTAGATGACCTTGTACTTGCGGGGGATCATGACACCGTCGTAGGAATTGTAGTCGTAGACGCGAAGATCGTTTGTAGATTCTCCGAAGAAAAGGTGATTCTCATAGGCGCGGATAACGTGGGGAAGATAGGTGTCTGGATCGATCAAGACACTGAGACCAGTAGTCTGGTCATGCACTTTTCCATCATATTAGTTCAGAGCAACAGATAGTCGCGGAGACGATCACCTACCAGCGGGCATGCGCAAGGCATGCTCAATCGTCTCATAGCGCAGGGTGAAGTTGTTGGCATTCTTGATCTAAGACGAGTTAGTGAAAAGAATCGGATTGTGAGCGAGAGATAATATCACGGACCTGTTGTAGTAACAATGGATTCCATCTGTAACTGTCATGGATCATGACCTGGGCTATGTAGCCTGTCAAGTGTCAGTGGTTGTGTCAAGAATTTCAGTCTTGGTACGTACCATCCAACAAGCCCTCTGGAGGAGCAGTAGGAGCAAACACAGAGTAGCTACCGTTGACAACTGCAGCAAACCCATTGTTACCACCTCTTACTACAATGGAGTAATCCATTGGCTCCAAATTTGGCCGAGCAAATGCCATTAGCCCTAGACAAGCAATCAGTTTCCGCGAATCATAGAATGGCAAGACAACCTACATCCCAAACCGTGAACACTATCGACACGCTGAATCAAAGCATCGCCAGTGTAATCATAGGTGAGTCTTTGACTACCGTATGGGATAACAACTGAATCCGTGTCCTTGAGACTCGCGGACTGCACGACTGAACGTTGGCGGTACTGGGAGCCGCCCACTCTAATGGTCTGAATAGTTGTGTTGCCATTGATACCCAGCGCTGCGATCGCACGATCCAAAAGATCGGCCGGGGGCTGCTCATTCTGTCGAGCGTGGACGTGAGCAGTGACTTGCAGAGGAAGACAAGAGATAGCGAGCGCTATCAGCTTCCGTGACACGACCATCTTCGGAATAAGGACTAGACGGCGACAGCTGGTAAGAGATGCGGGTTAATGATGTGAGACCAGAGCGTGTATCTCTGGAAACCTGGAGATACCCCATTTAACTTATAGATACTCTCACCCAAACCTTGAACCCCCCCATGTTCCTGGTGAAGTACATGGTATTGCGAGTAAGGGAAGCAGTGGCCTCTACGAGATGGTTCAAATTTCGCTTCGGTTGCATGTTGCTTAGCAATGCAATTTGCTCTCGTAGACTTCTCACATCAATCCATTGCTTAGCAATCAATCGCTATATGTAGCTGACGAAGCAGTGTAAGATAACACGGTCAAAAGGAATCGCATGAATTCTCTCACGATGATTTGCGGATCAAAATACCATACAGATTAGCTCATGCCAAAGGTCGAAGTGAAGGGCCGACAGCGTGCCAGGTGGATCCCCAAATTTGGAGCGGTGACACCCGGGGGGCTGGTCTTGCTTACTTATGCGCAACACGTTGCTGCGAGTGACGAGAAACGAAATAAGGCCGTACCAATTGGCTGCCTTCAACGAGCGGGCTGACATAAGTACCCGCGAATCTAAGGTTCACGTTAGTCAAGGCACTTCGGCCCTTTACCCACTCCAGCTTCACTCTCTTCTTCCTCTGGTTGCACGGAGACTCGGTGTGCAATGCTTAATTGCGATTAGCCGTGTGCATATATTCATAGTCGTGAATAAGGAATTCTCTTTGGGCGATCTTGGGTTAATTGCCTGTTACGTGGTCCTGGAACCATGGCACCTACGCCTCTCTAGGCAATACGTACATGGGCCAAAGGTAGTATTGATCTGCACTTGGCGCTTTTTGCACACCGAAAGCCGTTGAGCGTAATACTGAAAAGCCATTCGAAGAAGAAAGAACCTAGTTCTCAACTTTGTAGTACTAGGTACATACGATCGGTGTGACATCTCCGCCTGCAACATCACTGAACATGGTCGGAAACGTTATTAGGCGGGCATGGGTTTCTGAATCGGATGAGCAGATATCAAATAAGCAGCTGCCCGCGCACACATTGAAGTTTGCCGTCAACTTAGCGTCGAATGGAGCCTGCATGTTAGTCTGGCCTAAATCGCCATAAGCTTGAAGGAGATTGCTCCCATTGACCATGTGGGAGAGATCTCAAGCGTTAGACTCCTTCGGAGATACACTGGTACCCGATCAGGCGGTAACCAGATTCCTTAGGGCTGCGGCCGTCCCTACGCGTACTGTGTTGCTCTTGTAGAATACATGCTTGCCCATCCGAACAAAGTTTCCCAACGCCGTTAACGTACCGATATATTCAATTGCCAAGGAGCCGGTCAAGTGCTCGATCTTCGGACTATATGTCAGACTAGACCTCGTGTCAGCTTGATACATACTTCCACGTACCATGACAGCAGTACTACCTAGATACACGGAGATCCTGAGATCCTACACTGTACATAGTTTTCTAGCAGCGGCAGTCAAACCCCAGCCAAGTCTACTTTGATGGTGTCACGTGCAATCAGCACGAGGGCACAGCTCCGCGTCCTTCCACGGGGCCGTGGCATATCCACAATACACATCGTCCGTCTAACTTGGCATGGGGCGGTGTCGCTCATCTTGGCACACAGCATTACCGGTACCATCGACACACCCCCATGTCAAAAAAAAAAGATCGTTCCTAGAAATACTAGGTATCGCGCGTTGCGCAAGTGCTTAGTCACCCAGAGCAACGAGTTAAACGTAAAATTTAGTACTCACAACGCCAGAAATCAATCAATGTAGATATTGTATAGCTTTCCTATTTATTTACAGCTTCAAAATCAGCCTTGATATGCCTATATTATGCTGCTTTCTATGAGGTTTTGGTGGGTGGCAACATCCGGGCGACATGCCAAGAACGATCTCTTTTTTCTGACATGGGGGTGTGGACAGCTTAGTAAAAGCGTGTACAGTCATGCGGGTTTTATAAGCAGAGACTTAGGAATTTTGTCAATCCAAATAACTCTAAGAGGCAGCCCCCACAGGAAACCTGGCCCTCGTACTTCAATTTCTTGCTTGTGCTTCCCCATGTTGATGTGGGTAGGTGATCTGAACATCTCGATGTTTCAATGATTGTTTGTGTAAGCAACCGGGGCATTTGTTTTGATCGCCTTGCTGATCTCCTTGAAACAATGGGCCTCGGGTCAGTCAATGCATAGCTTACATTTCGACAGAGACTGTATTGTCTCATTTATCGAATAATGAACTGACATAGTATGTCATGTGGCCCTTCTGGGTTTGTCGGTCATGCGTTGCACTACGGAAGAGAAAGACTAGCATGCGCGACCCGGAGCAAGTTTACGTCAACCATTGGTGACTGTAAGGACTTCCTCGATCGCGGCCGTGGGTCCATAGGTCAGGTTCCAACGAGTGAGGGATCATAGAGATGCTCATGAATTATAAACAGTTCACACTCCAAGTGTAAGTACAATATCAGTCTAAGTGAGTTCTCCGCTTACAATTCTACTACAGACAGCGCCTCCGAATGTAGAAGAAGCTACTGCTCTTCTGCCCAACTGCGGAGTCGGGTAACGTGGTCACTGAATCTATCTTGCGAAATGTCACTCATGGCTTCTCGAAGCTCACGGCGGTTTACGATTTCACTATCTTGCATAATCTCACCCATTTTACGGTAATGAAGGTATCAATAATCGCGTATATCTCTCCAACGACTTTGCTGGGATATGGCCTGTCGCTAACGTATTCCAGATAACCAAGTGTCCTCAAACCCGCTTGACGCCCTTCAACCTCGTGGTTTCGTAATCCCGTCACATAAAGCCAAATCCATGCTCAATCCATACCAGCCGCCCTTTCTTTCGCCATGTCACTTGCATTCCGTTGCCTTCTCAAGACCACTCGAGCTGGCCAAGGAACTTGCCCTATGGCAGGGAAACCGCATTGTCGCTGCAATACTGCCTAAAATACACCCACCATGTTAAAAAAATGACACTCTCGTGCAATCATGGATCCTGTGGAAGTCATTCGGGAGCTATAGATAAGGAATCCAGTTTAATCACCAGCCATATCAATAACGTGTCTGTATGAGCCAGCTCAACCGCTGATGAAGCTCCTTCCTGAAGTCATTGACAAGCAAATTCTGAGACATATGATTCTGGTGACAGCGAAATCGGGCGGTATGGTACTGGGGCTATGCCACTATTGATTCAAGTCTCGGGAGTCGCGATACGTTAGGGCGATATCACGACTCCTATACACACCGCCGTTTCCCAGTGCGAACCACCTAGACTACGAAAGCAGAAGCTAGTCACCACTCGAGGGCACTAAACATGTATACATCCACCGCTATTATCACCCTCACCTTGCATATTCAAAGGTCCTGGACGACAGCAGACTTGGCTTTTCGATTAGTGGAGAGATTCCACGTTCATCACTGTTCATTACCGGCCAGACCAATACCATATCTATAATGGCCAACCCTATGAATCCCAACATGCTTACTCAAGACCTCATACCCCAATCACCTAACCCTACGAACCAGATATATTCCTCCCGCCCCACTACCATGTAAGAACAACAATCTCCATCATCCAATCCCACCTAACACACACCAGCCCTATCAACCACCAACCCAACTCACCCCTCCTCCATCTCCCCGCCGAGCTCCGAAACAAAATCTACACACTCATCTTCCACACCCTCCCCATCCTCGTCTGCTTCGCGACTTCGCACGCAAGCCGGCCCGTCGACCACTGTCCCGCCTCGCGGACGGTCAAGCGCCGGTACTCCCATGTGCACTACTCGCGAGTGGACCTCGCTTTGCTTCAAACTTGCCGCTGGATTTATTTCGAGGCGAGACTGCTGCCCTTTTTGCTGAATACTTTCAAGGGGTTTCCGGAAGCGATGGTCGCGGCTTTTCCGGGGCGGTTGTATCATGCACAATGGAGCTGTGTTACGAGGATCGAGTTGACGGTGGCTAAGACAGATGTCGAGGGGAGACGGTCTGAGCCTGGAGGTGAAGGGTATCCTAGTACCGTGGATGTTGCAATAGACACTGTTTGCCGTTTTCCCCGGTTGAAGATGCTGAGAGTGGTATTAGATGGTGGGTTTGTGGATGCTGCGGTCTGGGAGCAATTTACAGACGTATTGGGTGACACGATAAGACAACGTCGACGTGCGAATGGGTTGACGGAATAGTGGGGCCATGTGTTATGTGAGAATCGCTTTGGTGAACACGGCATGTAGGTTGCCACTGTGACGGCCGGCAGTATCTGCACAGATGGACTTTGCAATCACTAATCGAAGTGCCAAGTGGACCTGGATATGTCCCTTACTGTCATTGGTATGCAAAACATTTGGCACTGTGAGATACATAACTTATTGACGTGTAGATCAATTGATGGCCATAGAAAGTAGTTGATCAGGATCATGGTAGGATTCACATCCGAGCCATGGGCCACAAAATCTTCATATACCATTTGTGTCCCAGCTCTTCTGTGAAGGATGCAACGCTTCAAGGACATAGAAGCGTAATCTGAATCCGAGAGCCACCCATTGGACTTCGCAGACCGCACACGGAAACCTTGATTCCATGCTATAGAATCAGCTCCAAGACCCACTCAGCCACCCTCCCGTGTGCTCTAAAATCCATCTAGCCTCTTGATAAAAGACAATTGTCTCAAGCCAAGGGCGTGTACTGCATAAAAGGCCCCGTATTCTGAAACTCAAACTCGACACGAACATTCTCCCCAAACGTACCACGAAGAATCTCACGTACCTTTCTGTCATTGAAATCCACGCGGCCATCTTGACGGACGACCCCGGCCTTCAAAACCGGAACGACCACGTGACTGATACCCTTGTACATACCCCAATCATACCCATCCCAATGCCAATCCCGCTCAAAGTCGCTGGAATTCCAGAATCGGATCTGAATCGTCTGGATGCACGCAACCTGCCAGGGAGAAATATGCTTCGCAAGGTCCAATGGCGTCTTGCTGCTCATCTTGAACTTGTTCTCCGTGAGCGGCAGCTTGAACGTCTCATAGTAGATTTGGCGACAAGTTGTGGTCATGTTGAGGATGTCGAAGAACGTGTATGGTGTCTCGGTATGATCTTTTGTCAGACAGATGTGGTGGAACACAGGCTTTTTGTCTTCGAAGGCTGTGTTGTCGATTTCAACGATGTGGTTTCCGAAGGCGAGGTCGTAGATGCGATTGCGGAGCTCGCCTGGACTGCGGGTGGAGAGAAGGCACAGTTAGTGATTAGGCCAGGCTGATACCTTGCGCACCAATGTGACATACAGTCGTAGAAAGGGCGACTCGTTTGAGTTTCGCTCAGTGCTGGGGTTCAGTTAGGAATTGTGGAAGCGCGCGTACGGGGTGTAGCTTACATCTTGGCTGCCTCTTTTCGCGTGCGCGTGGCTTCGATGGGAATGGAGGACATATTGAAGGATCGCAGTGATGACTTGAAGAGTAGCGATACGAGACATCGAGCGGAAGGTAAGATTTTCCTCGTCAGGCGTGATTGGGAGTCGGAAGGAACGAGCGCTTGTTTTGGACCATGACGACATGCATATGGAGCAATGAGGCACAACGGCTTCTTACAAATGTAATCGCTCGCCATAATTTGACGGAGGTGGAAGCAGCAAGGATGGAGTCTGTTCACCAGAAGTTGGCAATGGTCTGGTGTTCGTCTGCAGGCAACAGTTGTTGAAAGACATGGTCACCTAACCTTCCAACAACAAACCCTAGTTCGGTCTTCACTTCACCACGACGGACTCAACAGGCAACAGGTATCCTCAAGACCAGCCACCAATTTCCCCCCAGGATACTTAGCCTGACCCTCTCACCAGCGCCAATCTACAATGCCTCACTCGACAGGAGTGAAAACCCAGTGGACTCGACGCATCTCGGACAACTGGACATTTGTCCCGGTGATGAGTGAGGAAAAATAGGCCGGGTGGTTGGATATCTTCCCTGATTGGCATGGTGTGGTAGTGAGTAGGTATGGGAAGTCGATATTCTACACCGATTGGGTGCGTTTTGTAATACGTTGGCAACCCATGGCTTACACGGGTTCACGGCGGCCCGCTTGCACATTCCTGCGCTCTCTGATATCATAGTCATCGTATCATATGGAAAATACACGATTTCATCAAACCCCATGGCAACACAATAGCTATCCAATACCATACCCAACCCACCCAAAGCATGCCGGAACATCATTTCTACTAGACCAAACCCCCCCTACATCGCTAACTCATCCTCACTCCCCTCTTCACCGTCGTCCCAAGCCCTCTTCCTCGCAAGCACAGGGTAGCTCTTCCTCTTGGCAAGCACCTTGCCCCCGCTTTTTCGTCGTGGCGTACCCATCTTCGTCCACGATTGCTTGATCTGCTTGCGGAATGCCTTCTGGTCGATGATCTTCGATGTGGATGCGGATATTGACGAGTTAATGGCGGGACGTGTGTTGGGGGCTGGACTGCTGTAGAGAAAGGACAAGGGGAGCGGTGTGCTGGATTCGCGCTTGATGTGTGGGGTAGCGGGTGCGAGGAGCTCGTCGTCGTCGCCGACAAGATTGATGGATGTGCTTCGGCGGCGGGTAGTTTGACGTTGGAAGGTGTTTACGGGCTGGGAAGGTGTGGAGTTTGTGGTGTTGGCATGCGAGTGTGTGTATCTTGGGTTGGATGTTGGATCTGGGGTACTCTGTTGAGGATTGGACGAGTGTCTCTGGTCCATTTCTTTTCTTGCAGATGCTATATTTTGATTCTCCATGATGCGTGGTGGCTCAATGGTAGGCGATTTTTGGAGATCTTGCTGGATTTCGTCTTCTTCGGTTGGCTCTAGTGGGGTCTCGATGGAGGGCAGGACGACATCTGGTAGCAATTCGCCATCGTCGCACATTGCAGGCATGTCTGGGTGGCTATCACCAGCTATCGATAATAGTTCGAGCTCTTCATTATCATAAGCATTGCTTGAGGATATCTGGTTCGACTCTCGAGGAGTACATGTTTCGATTGACTCTTCCAGATGGTCTCCGTGTCTTGAGGAAGTGGGTGTTGGTAAATGATGCAGGAGAGAGGGCGGCTCTTGGGATTTGTCCAGTATAGGTCCTTGTAGGTCGACTTGCAAATGTGAATTTCGTTGCTTCAATTCGTTCCAGTGTTGTTCTAATGAGTACAATGGCCACTTCCTCCATTTCTTTCGATCGTTGCGAATTTTTGCCCACGAGCATCCCTCCATTACTTTCGTGCTGATGTATACATCATCCTCCTCGCTGAACTGGTATTTCGATACTTCCCGTCTAATCTCCACACGCCGACTTCTTCTTGAAGGTGTCACACACGGTGCAGCGATTGCGTGCGATTCGCGTTGCTCGATAGTCGACAACTCGTCTTCAATCTGCCGCGGTTCGCAATGCTTTGTGTGCATTGTTGATACTGAACCTCGTCTCCTTTTAATCTCTACCCTTAGAATTCTTCTAGCAGGTATTCTACAGGGCGCATCAACCGCGTGTGGCTCATGCTGATGGATAATCGAAGGCCTGTCTCCATCCTGCCGCCGTTCGGAATTTTTCGTATGCCTTGTTCGAATTCCTGTCTTCTCCATCTTCTTGCTCCCGATATTCGATTCTGTTTCCTTGTCAGGATCTGCAAGCGGCATAGGCTGTGTCAAGTGAGGCCTTGGGGATATCACTGGAAGCGGCGGGAAAGACCACTTGGGATCCGTCGCAGGCGCAACTACATCAGCACGTAGTGAAGGTGTCGCATACGCAGGTGGCGGCGCCTGAGCCGCTGAACCTGGTAGGTTCGTATTATTGGACAGAATTCCAGAAAAGAGAGGGGCTACTGCCTGCTGAACCGCTTGGTTGATGGTTTGTGTGAGGGTCGTGTAGAAGGCATTTTGAGCTTGCTGTCCAGCTGGTGTTTTAGGGAATTGAACGTATTGCAGCAAATTTGAGGCTGGGCCAGGCGTATAAGGTGTGTGTTGTGGGCTTGGTTGCAAGTTTGCAAGCACTGGATTTTGCTGCGGCTGGACGGTGCCTGGACGGTTCCCGTCTTCTGCCTTGGCGGCTTTCGGACGTTGAGTAGGCGCTAATTCGTCTTCTGACTCTTCCCTACTGTCCGTGTCTTGCTCGTCAGGAAGCTCATCGTCCTCTTTGGTTGCAGAATAACCCAGGATATCCAGAATTGACGTTTCCTTTCGCGCGACTTGTCGCTGCAGTCTTCGTAGATGGCCTCGATCAACCACCACCCTGTTCTTCTTCATGTCGATAATATCGCTGTTGGACTCGTGCATGTTTTCGTATTTGGCAAATATTGACTCCATCCTGCTCTTCAGTCGCTTTTCTTGCGCTTTCTTTGCATTGATGTAGTCTTCGTTTTCCTCGTCCACCTCGACCGACTGGAGGATGCGCAAACGCTTCGCCGGCGGTTCCATCATGATGACAACCTCTGCGCAAAAGGACCGTCCCAACAATCCAGGCGGGGAAACTCGGGGGGGGATGAGCGACGTCTGCGTTTCGCTAGCGATAGTGGGTGGTGAGTGGTGAGTGGTGGGTAGTGGGTTTGTTTGTTTGCGGAGCACGAGCCGGATGCGAAGGCGCGACGAAGAAAGGTGAGGACGCGGCGTTCCAAGGTTTCCTCGGCCTGCGTCAACTGGCGCGTCCCCACATCTCGCGCGCGGGAGTCTGAGCTTCCCTGCAGATGATCAACCGCCAGACTGCAGCGCGCTCCGTCATCCCAACTGCCCATCTGCCCAACGTGCATGCGGCTGTTCTCTGTTCTCGTCGTCTATCACCGCCACCCGACCCCCAGCAGTATGAGGAGATATCGCAGTCACCAGCAATATGGCGAATGACAGGAAACCGTCGGGCTTGTCCTGCCAAAAGTGCAGGACGCCCATCGATGTGGATGCCTCCATCGACCAGCTCAACCCGGCGGCCTTCAAGCTGTTGACAGGTACGCTTCACTGGGCCTTCACAGGCCTCTCCCTTCACATGAACCGTCACCCATACTTTCACAGATTCAACCGTGTCTGGCCAACAGCAAGCCTCCAAGGGCTCCTCGCTCCGCCCATCACGTCCGGCCTTCCCCGCCATACGCTCAGAGACGTACAAGGAAGCCACCCAGGTGGCCAGGAACCCTACCTTCAAGCGCAGTGTGACGACGACGAGCATGCCACATAGCTCCGCAAACCCTGCCATGTCCTTTATCGATGTGCACATGTCCGAATCCATGCTGGACCCGCCAGCGTCCTCCTCCGGACCAGCCCGCCATGTCGCCCGCCAGCCTCGGGCAGAAGAGCTTCTAACAAGTTCTAGCGATCTTACGAGGAGATCGAGTGTGGCAGGAAGTTCCAATACAGCGGGTGGGACGAGCATGGCTGACGGGCTGGAGACAACAAACCGCATGTTCGAGATCTTGTCTGCGCGCTCTGACATTGACCATCCCATCTGCGTCGAGTGCACCGAACTGCTCGTAGAGGGTCTGCAGAAGAGACTGGGTGTAGCTACACGCGAGCGCGACGCCTACGTAGACTACTTGCGACGCGCAAACACAGACGTACCCAGCGCAGAGGAAGTCAAGGCCGCCGAGGCCTCGCTCAAGGCAGCGAAAAAGGCAGAGGCAACCGCGATTGCCAACCTGGAGCAGCTCGAGGCCGAAAAGGCAGAATTGGACGAGCAGCTAGCCGCGCTGGAACTCGAGTCCCGCCAACTCGACCAGGAGGAAAACGAGTTTTGGAAGACGAGGAACGCGTTCAGCACCACGTTGACGGCCTTTCAAAACGAGCGCGACGCCCTCTCCACACGCTACGCACACGACGCCCAAATCCTCAACCAACTCCAAAGAAGAAGCGTATACAACGACACCTTCAACATCACACACGACAACCACTTTGCCACCATCAACGGCCTCCGTCTCGGCCGGCTCCCAAGCCCTTATGTGGACTGGCCCGAAATCAACGCTGCATGGGGCCAAGCCTGTCTCCTTCTGGCCACGCTCGCAGAGCGGCTGGGCTACAAGTTTCAGGGCTACGAGCTCTCGCCCATGGGTTCTACATCTACCATCACTCGCCTGGAAGTCAAGGGTGCGGCGTCGGCTACCGCCAGCACCGCGGCCACTACTACCGCAGCTACTGCTGCTACTGCTACTGCTGCTGCAGATACCTGGCAGCAGTCCTCGCCCTCGCCCTCGTCACCCGCCATCACCCGCCACCGCCTCGAACTCTACTCCTCCGGCGACTTCCCCATCAACTTTGGCTTCCTGCACCGCAAATTCGACACCGCCATGGTCGCCTTCCTCGAATGTCTCCGCCAACTCGGCGAGTTTGTGGAAAACACGGGTGCACATGGTCCAACAGCAACAGCAGCAGGGGGAGGAGCAGGAGCGCCCGGTCGAAGTCTGCCAGGTCCCGGCGCAGCAGGAGGGCCAGGTGCGGGAGCGGGTGTCAAGATACCGTATGAGATTCGCAAGGATAGGATTCATGATCAGAGTATCAAGTTGGCTATGAATAAGGAGGAGAGCTGGACAAAGGCTTGCAAGTATACGCTTACGTGTTGTAAGTATTTACTCGCGCATGCGAATAATGTGGAGAGTTTGGCGATGAGGAGGGCGAGGTAGGAGGGAGAGGGAGAGGGGAAGGGAGGGCAGTGGTTTGGTAGGATAGAGATGGATGAGATACCCAATGATGAGTAGAGGGCCTTTAGACCCACAGTCCACAGCCATGCTCTACAATACGTACTATACATGTGTCGCTGTGCGTTTCGCAGCTCTGGCACCGCTCATGTTGTGACGTACCTATTATATATACTATGTAACGGACATGATCCCGTCCTGAAATCGATCTACCCGATTATTTATAGCCGGCAACACCCACAGCCTCGATGCAGTCTGCACAAGTGTGATTTTGCCTCTCAAACGCACTTGCCCATTCCACGTGCTGTACGACCTGCCGCATTCAGAGTTGCCACGGAACGGCACGGGAACTATACCTGGCTACTGTACAGGACCGAGTCGGCATCCGCCATCAAACATCTGGGATACTTGTGCACGTAGATGAAGATTCCGATCTAGGGATTCATTCCAGGGAGTTTGGCTGGATGGTACGATATCATTCCCATGGGTAGATTCACCGTAGGTACAGTAGGATAAGCTGCCGACTACGAAGAAGCTTGGAACAAATTATGGTAGAAGGTAAAGGCGGCCTTGGGGTCCGCCATCTGGTATGAGCCTCTCAAGACGGATGATGGTGGTGGGTGGTGTCCTTCTCCACGCCAATACTGTGCTGTACTGTGAACCCTGGAATCTTGAACACCCGGTCGCCGAGATGACAAATTTACCTAGGAGTTGAAATCATGGTTGTTGGATATCCACTGTGATGGCTACGTGACAGATTGTGGGGACAGCCCATGGCGCTACCGTTGACCAGGGATCCCTCCCTTTCTCCTCGAGTTCCGGGGTTTCCTGTTCCAGCCTTGTACTATGGTATATAAGTACAGTAATCGAAAGACGCGAAAGCCCGAGGCTGCACACGCTTGCTTCTTGAGTCAATCACCGCATCTTGTGATGTGCTTTTTTCAGCGCCACCCTTCAAGGGCACCAGTACCCGCACCAGCATCCTCTATGCTAGCTCAGTTCGTCTCCATTGCGCTTCTGGGCCGCCATCCATGGCGGGTGAGGCGAAGGCCGAAAAGGACAAGGTCACGATGTCACGATACTTGATCGGTGGTGTTGCGGCGCCTTGACTTCCAGATTGTCATATGCACTGTGCCTCGTGACCGTCGTGTGGCGTGGGAGCGCAGCAGGGGACACAGGAAGCCTTTTTGTAGTGCAGGGCCACTCAAAGCGATGACCATGGCACCGGCAAGCGGCAAGACAGGGCAAAGTTCAAAGAATGGTCGGTAGTGCAAACGGCTTTGTCTTCCCGCTGGCTGGATGTGCAAAGGCGCCAGACGCTTGGAGTTAATGCATGCGGGGTAGCGTACTCTGTTAGCTCATAGAAACTCGGGAAGGGAAAATTACTGTATGTAGGTAGGTAAGGTACAGTAGAGTAAGTACGCCTACTCTACAGCATGGACGATCCAGTCAGGGGCGAATGGATCGTGCCGGTGAGATTGGATCGCAATTGCGTGATGGTGATGCTCGCTACTCGTCGGTGCATTTAGCCATGCACATGGCCGTTGCAGTTGCCTACCGGTACACGCCCGAGTTGATTCGTTCTGGACGGTGGTTGAATCGTGCAGCGCAGTCAAGAAGAGAAATTTTGCAACGGTTAGGATCGCCTTGAGGTGCTCGGCTCTGCAACTGGAGCCAAGGGCAGGCACAGTAGAGTACTCTACTGTGCCATCTTCTAGTAGTTCCCGTAGTTAAGGGCTACGATGCTGGCGTTGTGGAGATGGTGCAGAGCGGGGAAGGTTCTTAAACGTAACAAATTGCCCCATGAGTAACCTGAAAGACGGTGTTGGAGAGCCCTAGCTTGGGTTGCTGATGCACACGAGAACATGGTGTTGCGGCAGGAGCAGCAAATGCGGTGCGCTGTGCAGCCTGTGCAGTGCATCGTGATGCACTCTCGTGGGATGCGTCCATTGGACTGAGTGAACGTGGTGGTGGTGATGGTCGTGGTGGTGGTTGGGGTCATCAATGGTGCATCAGCACACAGTTGGGAAAGTATCACTGTATTACTGAGCTTTCCTCAGCGTCGCAAAATGGCGATTTCCTTTTCTTGTTCACTACATCCAAGCCATGTCTTTCCACACCGATGGCGAGACAGGTGTGGTCACAGCCGTTGGGAGGAGGGACGGTGGGTTGCCAATGTCCAACAAAGCGACATTGTGCCATGTTTCCGTGAGACCGAATTGAGTCGTTTCACCATGGGACGACTGTGTGGGATGGGAGCCAACATACATCGGGCCAACAATCAATCGCTCGTCGCTCGTCGCTTGATGCAAGGACGCCAACCGGCCACGACACGTACAATCACGGTTGGCCGACGCAGCACTGGTCTTGCCAGAGGGGGGGAAGAGAGGCGCGGCCAGGGACTCGAGGAGGCAAAGGACAGACACGGTCGCACGGTCTCATCCAGAGAATTCTGCGAGAAAAAGATGTGTCAGAAAACAGTTTCCATTACCCCCAAGATATTCAGGACGGGCCTCGTGACCAAGGTCTGGGAACCCGCTTACTGGGAAAAAGCAGCCAAACCCGGGGTCGTGCCAAGGCCTCTGACGTAAAACCGAAGCCAGGTCGGCCAGGCAAAAGACCAGGGCTGCCTTTGCGCCTTTCCCCCCTCGCAAAACTCGAACGGCGTGCAAACAACTGGACTTTGCGAAGCACATGTGCCTGTGCCCATTGG